TTATTCTTTCATCCCATTGTGCTCCGTCGATTATACGGTAGCACGCTGTTTCTGTAGCTTCCAAATTCTTCCAGTGGCTCTCTGCTATGGAGCTCCAAACTGGGACAGCGTATAGCATCACCGATCTAACGTAGGCCTGGTATAATTGGATTTTCTTGGCCTTCGTTAGGGGGCTGGACCTGAAAATATAAGGAAGTATTAGTTTTTTAGAAACATTTGCTTTTACCTTTGTTTTCCGTATATGCATCCCGAAGTTGAGTTTTCTGTCAAGGTGGACTCCTAGATACTTCACTGAGTCCGTTCCTTGGATCCTGTTTCCTCCTACTGTGATTTCGTAGTTTTGTGGTCTCCTGTCCTGTGAAAAAACGATGAATTGTGTCTTCTCCGCGTTGATTTTTATCTTCCATTTTTCTGTGAACTCCGATATTTTTCCTAGGTGGTTTTCCATGTTCCTGATTATTCTTCTTTCATCTTTTCCGGATGCATATACGGCAGTGTCATCCGCGTAAAGGGCTGTTGAAGTTCGAGGATCTGCAGGGAGATCTGAAACAAAAATATTGTATAATATTGGAGATAAAATACTGCCTTGTGGCATTCCTTCCTGGATTTCTTGAAGTGTTGACATCTTTCGGTCAGCTGAAACCTGAAAAGTTCTATTAGATAAATATTTATCACAAATATTAATTAAATAATGTGGGAGTCTTGCTTTGTCCATCTTGTAAATTAGTGCCTTTTTCCAAACCGTGTCGTATGCTTTTTCGATGTCCAGTATGGCTAATCCTGTTTTTTGTTTCCTGTTGAATTTTATTTTCGTGTCGCTGATTATTCTTGCTAGTTGAAGTTCGCAATTTCTACCTCTTCTGAATCCGAATTGGTCTTCTTGTATGATTCTTCTTCTTTCTGTGTGCTTCACCAGTCTTTTAAAGATGATTTTTTCCAGAACTTTTCCTAAAGTTTCTAATAGTGAAATAGGCCTGTAACTTTCTGGTCTTCTTCCGTCTTTTCTGGGCTTCAGAAGTGGAATTATCTTCGCATGTTTCCAATTGCTTGGAAAATGTCCCATTTCCAAGCAATATTTGTAGATATAGTACAGTTGTACTATAACCTTCTTTGGCAGTTCTTTGAGGGTGATGTTGTGGATTCCTTCTTGTCCTGGTGCTCTGTTTCCTTTAAGTCTTCTGATGATCTTAGCTACTTCATATGGACTGGTGAAGTCTTCTTCTTCTACTAAGAAATTATTTCTTCTTATTATCCTGTTATATTCGGTGTTAACTTCGTGTTTCGTTATTGCATCTGACATATCCTCGTTTTGGTTGTGTGTAGCTGCTAATCTTCTTGCAATGGCATCCACTTTTCCTTGAGTTTCGTAGTGTACCCCCTCGTTGTCGATGATTTGTGGCATCTTTTGTTTTCCTCTTCTTTTGGCTTTCAGCATTTTCCATACGTTTCCTTGGTTTTCTTCTGCTTTCCTGATGTTGTTGTGCCATTGGTTTTCAGTAAGACTTCTCAATCTTACTCTTATTTCCTCCGATAGTGTGTCTCCGTAATCCTTGTATTCTTGTCTTCTCGTCCTTTGGAACATTCTTCTGGCCTTATTTCTGTCCTTGATGATGTCTTGTAGTTCCGTTGGTATGATTAATCCTTTATTGTTCGTCATTGCTTTTGGTATGTTGTCTTCCATGGCTTGTTGAATTTTTCTCGTTATTTCTTCTATTTTTCTTTCTACTTCTTCGATTGATTGGAAGTTTCTCTTCATCTCTATTTGGTTTAGTTGTCTCCTGTAATTAGGCCAGTTAGCGTCTTTCCATCTCCATCTTTCTACTGGTTCTATTGTGGGGAGGTCTACTCTTGAAGTCATCCGTCCTGTAACTGGTTTGTGGTCCGAACTGCATTCAAAGTTGGCCTTTACATCTTCTATTATGACGTCTTTTGTGATGAATAAATCCAACGTAGAGTTGTTTTGATCTCTTTGAGGGTTGATTCTTGTCGGATCGTCAGGAGCAAATATCATCTTGTTTCTGTCTTCACAGTATCTGAGTAATGTATTACCAGATCTTGTATCTGTAACACATCCCCAAACACGACTTTTGGCGTTGAAATCTCCGGCTACGACGACGGTTGGTGCTGAGTTTAGCATTGCATCTAATTCTTCGATGGCTAATATATCTGAGTTAAACCTGTAAATAGAAAAAATGTTAGTATTTGCTATTTTGACTCCCACATTTTCAAATTGGTCTGTTTCTATCTCCACTTGATTCCATTCTATGTTGTTTTTAACATAGATTGCCACTCCTCTTTTGTTTGGAACGTCTCTTTTTCCGAATCCATCGTAATTTGTAATCCTTGGCAGTTGTGTTGTCGTCATGTAGAGTGTTTCTGAGAGGCAGATGATATCCGGATTGTGTCGTATCACTGTTTCTCGAAGTTCGTTTATTCTTAGCCGTAGGGAGGCTATGTTAAATTGTAGGATCTTCAGATGCCTAAGGTTCATTGTAGATCTCTTCGTATTTTATAAATATCATTGCTTTCTCTGCAAATGATTTCGCTGAAATTAATTCCCTCTTCATATCCTGTAGAAGTGACATCATTTTCTCTACGTTGACGATCTTGTTTATTTCCGCCCAAGTGTTTTTGATACCTTCTGCCGCTGTTGGTCTGGGTGCTCCTTTTGTTGTTTGTGCGTAAGATACGCCGCTGACTGTAGTCCTGAACGTTGATGGGTGCGGTGGAGGCGCTACTTTTTGTTGAGGTGTGTTTCTATTTCTTCTTGCCGCTTGTTGGTCCAAATACTCAATGTGTGTTGAGCACATTGGGTAGTTCGACGTGTGGTCTCCTCCACAATTGCAGCATTTTACTTTGTTGTTCTTGTCTTTTGGTAGTTGGCAACTTCTTGTTGGGTGGTTCGCTGCGCATTTCATGCATCTTGGCGATCTAAAACAGTTTCTGGCCGAGTGTCCAAAGTTTTGGCAGTTGTAACACTGCGTGGCCCTTGTCGGTTTAGAGTATGCGTCCCATCTGACGCGTATATTTTGAAGTCCGTTGATCTTCTTCACCTCCTTAAGATCTTGTTGCTTGTCGACCTGTAAGAGATAGGATTTACTTGTCTTACCTTCCTTGTGAGTCTTCATTTCTGTTACTTTGGCTACGATCCCTTGTTCCCTCAGTTCAGCCTCCACTTCGTCGAGATCCATTCCTGGAGCCGCCTTCATGACTAGTTTTTTGGTAACTTCCGATTTGCGTGTATATGTATGAAACGCAGTATTAGTTTGCACTAAGTCCTGCTTTAGTTTCTCGTAGTCGTCGGACGTCTTTGTAAAGATTCTTGTTCCCGCCTTTCCTGCGGGGGCAATTTGAAAATTGTTGTGGCCTAGCAGATCTCTTATTTCTTTTATGAAATTGGAGTAACTTCTTATCTGTCCTGCTATTACTAATGGTGGAATTCTCTCCTTCTTTTCCTGGGTATTTTTCTCTTCTGTGGTAACTTTCTCGAGTACTTGGTACCTGTTATAGGTAGCGATTCCGGATCCTGTTCCGGAACTTGTTGTTGCCTGATGTCTTATTTCTTCCTTTGAGTTTCTCCTATTTCTTTTTACTGGTTGAAAGACCTCTTCTTCCATGATTTCTATTGTGTTTTCAGCCATCTCGCTTGTTTTTTCCTGAATTTTCTCTATTTCTTCCGTGGAGTTATTTTGTAACTTCTTATCCTGGGCGGGTCCACCTCTCCTTGAGGTGGGCCGATTTGTCCTGATTTTATGGAGACTTCTATGAAGTGGGAATTCCTTCCTTATTGGATTGGTTCCTGAAATTATTCTAGAAATTTTGTTAGCGAATTCTGATTTATCACTGTAATTAGTCTTAAAAAAGACTAAATCAGAGATATCCTGATTTATCTTACACGAAAAATTCTCAGTCAACGTAAACCGTTCAGTTTACCGCCGACTGGTTTTGGTTGGGTTAGCTGTTTGCCGTCAGTCTCTAGGACCTAAGCGTACAAGTAAGTAGGTGGTTTAGACTGTGAATCTATACGTGACTGTACAGTAGCGAGTCTCACCGTCTACTCCGGACGACTACATTGTTTGATTCCATTCCGTTTACGCTTTTAATCTCCCAACACCTAAATCTGAAGCAACCTTCTTTATTGATTCACCTTTGTCCAAGTAACACTGATTAAAATGGATACAATAATTGTAGCCAAACGCAACACAGAAATTGCTGGAAATACGGCAGTGAACAATTTCTGAAAATTCCGCCTCGACCTAACAGCGCATAACTCTTTTCTCGTTTAACCAAAGGGCTCGGCTAACCTTCTTCTTCTTCTACGGCACTACAGCCCAAAATGAGCCTTGGCCTCCTTTATTTTTTGCCTCCACCCTTGTCTGTCTGTGGCTGCTCTTCTCCATACACGGACTCCTAGCTCGGCTAACCTAGTCTCGGATAATCGGAGTCTACTGTATTTACATACTAAAGCTGCCAACTTCCCTGCTCACTGCTGCGTAAGTGAGCTGCATGTAAAGGGGGCTAGGGTGCTATGTCACGGTTGTTGGTAAATGGTCGGATTTGTATAGTCTTGTGTTTCAGCAAAAACTGTTACACTAGGTTCGATGTATATGCTGTCGCATTATCCATAGCGACATAGCATAGCCGCTTTCTTCTTACTTCGTCACGCAATCTTTTTGTTGACTTTCTGCACTATTGGAAAGTTTTTAAGGTCCCCAATATTCATAATCGAAAAAAAAAAATTAACGCTTTGATGGTAGCTTCGTTCCGCTCGTCGTTTTATGACTGCTATTATTGTAATACAGAACCTACTAATAGCTGTCATATAGTAGGTAAATAAAATTATCTTACAAATCAAATTTTTCAGTGACGTATTGTCAAGGTTATTTCCAACGTCAGTGTCAATCGGTCAAATGATTTAAACAAAATGGACAAATCAGACATTTTAAACTTTCTCTCCTTCATCGATGATATCCAATATGAATTGTCCTTTCTGGTTTCAGCGTCAGAAGAGCCTCCATCTCCTCAAGAAGCGACGCAAGCAGTCCCTGCCAGTGGTGGCCCCTCAGGTCCTGGAGCTGATTCCGAAAGTGATGACAGCGAGGTGGGAAGATTACAAGCTCTCTTGGAAGCCAGGGGATTACCACCACATCTCTTTGGTGCGCTTGGTCCCAGAATGCAACAAATGTTACACAGAAGTATGGGCACAAACAGTTGTAAGTAAATTTATGTTCAGAAATTTATAATTATAATTATATAAAAATATATCAAAAAAGCAATCAGAATGGCTAAGGACACACAGCTGAGAGAACAATGTGCGGAAATATATTACAACAAAAACACGGTTCATTCAGTATGCACAAAAAAGTTAAAAGAAGCTGCAGGCTTATACAAGCCTAGAAGGGTCGGATGTTTGGCAGACAACCAAGGTAATCCACTACTTAGTGTTGAAGAAAGACTAGACACTTGAAACAAATATTGGAAGTAATGTTTGCAGATGAAAAGCAGATTGCCATTGAAGACAAAATGTCAAACAGGACCCCCGATTACCATTGAAGAAGTCACGGCAGGTATTAGAACTAAAGATGGTAAAGCTGTAGTGCCTGACAAATTTTATACATAATTTATGAAACTTCTGGACGAACAACGAATAAAATGGATAACAACAATATTTAACGAAATATATATAACTGGAACTATTCCCTAAAGCTAGTTAAAGTCAACCTTCGTAACTTTACCAAAAAATTAAATGCAATAACATGCGAAGACTACAGAATAATTAGCCCAATGAGCCACTGGTTTAAAACGATTTTAAAAGTGATACATACAACAGAATATATAATTTTTTTTTTAATTTGAATTGAACAGATTTTGAGAATTAACTCGCAATGTGTTTTTAGGACAGAGGGGTGATATATCCCATAGGCGTTCTGTAATATTATCTAGTAAATTATTATTTTGATAAACATTTGGCACTAGACTATATGTAGACAATATGCATTATCAGCTAAGGCTTTCGCACAAAAAGTGACATGTGGTTAAAAGCGATAAAAACAATTTTTGAGGAAGAGTCAATTATAAAGCTATAGGTTTTTTTCGAGTTTTGACTATTTAAGAAAAAAAGACAAGTGATATAACAAAATTGAAGGGTGTAATCAAAAATACGCGGAAATTCAATAATTTAGTTCTAGATTTTAAGGTTATGACGAAATACATGAAAGTAGGTCCGCAACCACAAATACGACCGCCACTTGTTATAGAAAACGACGTAATCGAAGCAGTTAACGAATTTGTATACCTGGGAACGCTCAGCAATACTAAAAATGACATTACCGCAGAGATAAACCGCAGAATTTGCACGGCTAATAGATGCTATTTTGGGCTTAATCTCCTTTTTAAATCTACAGCTATATCAAGAAATACAAAAGTAAAACTCTACAAAACAATAATACGCCCAGTCCTAACATATGGTTCAGAAACCTGGACTTTAACAAAAAGCAATGAAAACATGTTAGGATGTTTCGAAAGAAAAATACTGAGGCGAATCTATGGAGCGGTAAATGAAAATGGTGTCTGGAGCAAACCGACCCAGCTAGAAAAACGCTCCTTGATAGACCTATTGGTCAAAGAAGAAGAGGAAGACCCAGAACAAGATTCCTAGATAACATAGACCAAGATATGAGAAATATGGAAATACGCGCTTGGCGGAGGAAGGCGATGGATAGGGACGACTGGAAGAGAATTCTTGGGGAGGCTAGGACCCACACAGGATTGTAAAGCCAAAATGATGATGATGATGTTTTAAGGTTACGAGCCAATAAAGTGGGAAAATGTTAGAAAAACACGATTTTTTCGCAATTTGAGAATTTGTAATTTAAAAATGATTATTTTGATGAAAACAATTATGATTAATAGCCCGTAAGAAAATAGATGGAAAAGCATACATCTATCTGATTTTGAGGTCAGGTAAAAAAACGTGGTTTTTTTCGATTTTTATCTTTATGAGAGTTAGATGGGGACTTTTACAATAGATTTTGATAATGTGGAAAAAAAAGTGGAAAAATGTTGAATTGCCAATTAATTTTTTAATGCTTTCTGCTCAGAAATTGAAAATTCTGCCTTAGCCATTTAAAAGAACGAAAAAAATACATAAAAAATTACTATTTAAAAATTAGCCAAAAATTATTAGGATAACCTAAAAAATTATTGAAAATTCCAATGATTTTTAGGGAGCTCAATTTTCAATATAAAAATTTGAAAAAAATTAGGCACTTTTGTATTTGAAAGATACATATTTCTGAATTTTTTCAGATTTTTAAAAGCAAAATTGCGTCCAGAAAAAAAAAAGTCGAAAAAAGCTTATTTTTTAGATTTAAGAGGTTCTATGCGTTCTACAATGTGTATTATTTTACTGCGACTATACTTTGTTATAATTCATTATATTTGTTTTTGATTCACCAATAAAAGATTCAAAGATTTATAAATTTAAAAAAGTGTAATTTAATTGAAAAATGCATGATATAAAATTTTAACGAAACAAAAATATTTTTGCAGCCGTAGCTAGAGCTCAAGCACTTATTCCTGGTCTTCAAGCGACTGGAGATGAAGGTCAACAACTCCAAGCTGTAATTGAAATGTGTCAAGTATTGGTAATGGGCAATGAGGAAATACTAACTGGATTCCCTGTAAAACAAGTTGTTCCAGCTCTTATCAATTTACTAGGAATGGAACATAATTTTGATATTGTAAGTTCTCTTTGAATTTCTAATTAGATTTCTCACATATATAACATGTGGAATTCAGAGGTACTGATCATACAATATGTTCTGGTGACTTTTTCATAAGTCTTCACTATACCACATGATTTGGCACATTTCTAAGTTAAACTCAATTCCCTAGAACGGATCCGTTCAGACAACATCTAGACTATAATAGTAGTGGGCTTAAGTATAAATCTGATTAGGTTCAAATAAAATTGAGAATCAAATGTTAATAATAATCAAAAACGTTACTATATTTGAATTACATATTTCAGAAACCCCATAATTCCATTTTTATAAAATGTTGAGAAATTATAAAAAACCTTATTTTATGAAATATTTTAAAAACCCTGTTGTACTTTTGTAATAAAGTCATGAGATTAATGTGTTTTAATCAGTTTGCATAAAAAAGTGGTGAATCTTAGCTTTATATATGTTTTTTTTACTTTTGTGGTAATTTGGGGTTTTTGAAATATACAAATTTTCAAGGATGTAAAAATAAGAAAACATGTTTTATATAAACATTTTTTATTCAAAAATATGGGTATACAGAATAGTATATCAGTAGTAATCACTCATCAGGTTGTATTATTTCATTTGAATCTCCCTCGCATGTTAACAAATTAAAAATTTCTCCGTAAAAGTCCTTGACTTCTTCATTATCTGATAGATACTTTTCTAGATTTCTCAAGTCTTGCATCTTCTTGATAGTAATAGGAATATGTCTTTCGGTGTATGCTTTTCTTGTAGGGAAACTAATAACATCCTTGTTGCTATTTCGGAGCCGAAAAGAATGATCTATCAAGCCATCTATGTACTCTTTTGTAATAACAATTCTATCGTGATCACACGAATAAATAAAGTGTGAATAAATAAAGGATATTTTAAAAGCAATTTTTTGACCTCTTGGAATATTTCTGCCCAAAAATTCATTGGAGAGCATCGCCTTTTTAAAATACGTGGGTCACCATTCTTTAAGGTTCAATATATTATCAGAATTCAGCAAAACGACAGTAAATCGGTTTAAACTCTTGTTAGATTTTATGATAAGCTCTACATACTCTTTTAACGTGTAAATCCTGTCTGATTTTTTAATTTTCCTTTTAAGAACGGAAAAATCCCGATCACACGGTAGAAATGAATGTCTCCGTGTGGGATAATATTGTCCAATCTTTTTGAATCTATTGGTTGAAACTAATGCAGAAAAAAGTCTAACTATTGTATGGTTCTTGTTCTGGGATGCACATGCATCAGAAAAGAAGTGAAAATGGTTAATATTTTTAAATTCTGGATTGTTGACAAGAAAATGTGATAAAAATGATACAACTTCATTAGGCTCCTTAGTTCTTGTTCCCTCATGATACACATAGAATATTACCTTATCATCTTTCAGATTATGAATACATAAAACATTAACAGTTAAGGTGGCCGCACACAGAAAGAGCAAAACTGTTTTAGTCAAAATCGTTTTTGACTAAACGAGTCTGATGCTGATGTTTCCATATAAATTAAATGAGCGGACGCACACTAATTAGTCATGTGTCTAAAGCATGTTTAGGCTCATTTAGTTTCAGTGAGTCTGTTTGATGTTGATTACCAGATCGTCGTTTTGTGTCGAAACATTTCATTGTACGCGGGCGCAACGTGTTTTTGAAATTCCCTTCTTGAAACCGCTCGAGTAGTCAACAAGAAGCATATGTGGAAACAGATATTTTGCTTGTTTATATTGTGTGTATCATGGATGTGGACGCAAAAAAATTAATTGTACTGATTGAGGCCAGACCTCCTTTATATAACTATCAATTAAAAGACACTTAATTGTTGAAGCAAAGATTGGAGAGTTTTTTTAGCAGTTCTTTTCTCATTTACAGGATGCACCCAAAATTGTCTTTTATTTTGCGTTTTTTCGTCCTTTAGGAGGAACCACTGCCAGAAAACTAGTGTAATTTCGTCGTTATCTGTCCAAATCTTTAATAAAACTGATTGCAGTATGGTTTATGCAAACATTTTGTTTCTCTTGAAAACAAAATGTTTCTTGTGGAAACAAAAACGTTTTCGTTTCAAACAAAAACGTTTTTGACTAAAACAGTTTTGCTCTTTCTGTGCGCGGCCACCCTAAGTTTTCTTAAATAGAATGTTTCCTGGACAGGAATTACCGGTAGTTGAAGGTTTTGCATATAATCAATGCAAATACCACCTACACTATCATCTACTTTACAAAGTTCTGAAATGGTTTAAAGTTTGTTATAAAATTTGTTTGCCCGTTTCTTATGAACAGTTTTTTCTGCCAGTGCCACTCATTTTGCTGTTTCATTTAAGAATTTACTTTTTATTTTAGTTTCTAACTCTTCACATGTAGAGCAGGTGTCAACTTGTGGGCTATCGAAAGATAATTAAAATTGTTCTTTAAAAATCTTTTTATAATATGAATATTTAACGTTTTGTTCTGGGTGAACCTCTTTAAACAACTTATACATTATAAAAATATTTAATTTTTCATTTAGATATGTAAAGTTGTTACGATATTAATTGGGAAAGAACAATTTTTGGGGTCCGGTCAGTAATTCTACGGCAAACATAGAAATAAAGATAATTCTTTGTAATTCTAATTATTGATTACTCCTGGTATTAGTCCACATGGATATTGGTGTGGCTTATTACTTTGAACGTATCTTATTGGGTAATACTGAAATGTAATTGGTCAAAATTTTCGGAAGTGAATACACTGATACCAAATCTGGCTTTGCCGTTATCAGGTAAAAATTGCTTCTCATGTTTCAAAGGCGGCAAGCATCAATAACAGTGTCGTCGTGATAAACTTATTTTATTTTATTTTAAACTTATTATATAAATTATTTTATTTGTAAAATTGTAGTCTCATTTTTTAGTTCTCAAATTAATAAGCACATTACATTTCATTTGCATTATGTATGTATATACTTTTAATCATCAATTTAATATTTCAATAAAAGTTAAGGAATTTTTAGGGTCCAGTCCCGAATAATTCAGAAATATAAACATTAGTTGTAATTGATCACTAACGGTATTGTCCACATTGCAGCTGTGGTTTATTACTTTCTACGTATCTTATCGGGTACTACTGAAGTGTAATTAGTCATATTCTTCGGAAGTTATTACGCTCAAACTTGATCGTTATCTGGTCAAAAATGCCTTCTCAGGTTTCTCATACTAAACGATATATTCAGTATCGTCGTGTACGACAGCAAGTTCACGTATATTTTTAATATTTTTGTGCAAACAGTAGTGTTGTGTTTTAGTTAAGTTTGAGTTAAGACAATAGAAAATAAGTTGTAAATACATTAAAGAATATCGAGATGACAATAGAGACATTGTGTATATTGATGAAACGTGGTTTGACACCCATGATGTAGTTCAATATGGCTGGATGGATGATAGCAAAAAGTGCTGCTTGAATACTCCCTGTTCGAGAGGAAAAAGAATTATAATTCTACATGCTGGGACTAAGAGCGGGTTTGTACCTAATGCCTTGTTATTATCGGCCAAAAACATTAAACAGTGTCATCAGCTGATTATCATGAAGATATGACGGCTGAACTTTTCGAAAAATTGGCAACGGAACAGCTGTTACCGAATATTAAAACAAATTCCGTGATAGTAATGGATAATGCGTCATACCATTCTAGACTCTACACCAAAATTCCAAATACTAGCTCCAAGAAAGGAGATATCATAGAATTTATGGAGAACAAATGCATGGGAACACCTAGTAAATGTATCAAAAAGGAATTGTTGCAATTAATTACGCAACAAAATTTTCAAAAAGAATATGTAATAGATAAACTCTTTGAACGCCACGGGCATACGGTTTTACGGCTCCCTCCATATCATTGTGTTTTCAACCCAATTGAAATGATATGGGCCAATGTAAAAAAGAAATTGCGGAAAATAAATCAATCTCCCCAATGAAGTGACGTTGTTGTCCAAAATATAAGAACAGTGATCGAAGAACTTAACAAAACTTGACATTTGGAAAAATTGTGTAGCGCATGTTCAAGTAAAAGAAAAAGAATATACTACTTTACCACCAATTGAACCGGTAGTTATAAACACAAACGACGACTCAAGTTCTGGACACACGGATAGTGATAGTGTTTAATTGTTTAAATATTTCTACAAAGATTTCCACAACTTGTCAAAAATATGTTCTGTGTATCGAAGTAAATGTGATCTCTCGATTAATCTATAACCCAAGAGACAATTCGACTGTAAGACGAATTGACCGATTTCATGTGAGTATCTTTCAAAAATAACCTCTTTAAACCGATGAAACTTACAGATCATATTCATGATTATTTTTTACCAAAAAAAGGGATCAACTTTGTTTTGAGCGTAACTTGCTTACGTTTGATGCTAGAAACTTTTTTAAAAATTAAAAATAAAGATTTCTTTAAACAATTTAAAAAAAAAGTAAAAACACTTTTTTTTTATTATTTCACGTTGAATTATTCGATATGGAATTTGACGAATAGGTAAGAATCTATTTTTCATTAGCTATAACTCTGCTTCTGCTGGGTATACAGACTTCATACATATACTATTGTTTTCACTTTTTTGTAAATTGTATTTTTGGTACGAACATTTTTTCCATAAAATACTTACCTTTTGAGTTATTTGCGAGAAATCGTCCAAAAACGTGGTGTTTTTGATGAAAAATAAATATATTCACTCGCAAATAACTCAAAAAGTATTGATTTAGTAAAAACCTCTATAGAACAAAAGTTACCTAGAATTAGTCAGTTTATCCACTTCCGGACTTATTTTGGATGTATATCTTTTCACCCCCCAAGAAGGTGCGGTACTCACCCCCAGGGCAAAAATACACATCGGCACAATATCACTTTTTTTCTTTGACACGTTAGCTATATGTGTATGACAAATTTCATATCAATCCCAGTGGTTCTTTAAAATTTAGAGGTTTTTACAATATTTTACCGTTAGTGAATGGACTATATTGTGTATTAACTTTTAATCATCTTTGGTGTCAAATTCATAAAGAAATGTGAATAATTAACAATATTATTACTGTTTAACAAAATATTAGACCCTAATATAATAAAAATAAAAGTTTATTATTTAATTTCTATTGCGCCGCCTATGTTTTACAAAGACGCCGACACTTGAGTGTCGAATTTTGTTTTTATGACTTGTCCAACTGACATCGTAGAAACTATACCTATATTTTCTACTAGTATAATGGGCAGTTTTGACCGGAAACGAAGCAAAATGTTTTATGATTGAATCTATAACAAGTCCTAACTTCGCATTGCAAGATTGATTTTTACCTCTTTTATCTATAGGAACTTGCCCTTCTCGTCTTAACGTGGTTAAGCGACGCAACCGATCATTGATAATGCCAAAAATTGCAATAAATGCTTTTCTATAGATTTTCTTTGTACCTGTTGGTCCCTGAATTGTATATTCAAAAGAAGCTAGTCTATCAGGCTTGCAAGAAATATCAGCAGGTTTTATGCGCCTTCAACGTGCAACTTCATGGACTGAAATCAGCGATTGTAGCAAACAATCTTGTTCGTTCTTAGTGTTAAGGCTCCTGAAGTTTCGGAATAATTGAATTCGTGTTTCTTCAGAAATTCGTAAAAAGTGTTTTTGGCGACATCTAAAAATAAGTATCATTAAAAGAACGATAATAAAATATTAGATATTATTTAACTACTTAGTAATATCTTAAAGCTTTAAGGCTTACTTGCAGTCTGGTCCTTGGTTCACTTCAGGTGCCAAGGCACCAGTCCAGCGTTTATAGGCAGACAATTTAACTCTTGAGTTTTTAATAACTTTTATATTCACTGATATTACATATTCTACGCTTTTTTTGCGCGTTGAAGACTCATTTTCAATTTTCATTACTTAAATTATTATTCATTTTTACTGTAATAACAACTAACAATATGTAAAGATCACAAATAATGTGCATAACCTAAAAAACTCAAAATCTCCTATCATGTCAAAAATCAGTGTGTTCAAATCATCGAGCAAAAAGACAAAAGATGGAATTTAAAGGTAGTGGGGGCAAAAATATTGTTAGACAGGAAGTGCCATCTTGAGAGGCCAAATTAGACAAGGAAAGAGAGTCTTTCCTTGTTTAAGAAATCAAATTTAGTTGGGTTACGTTATTGTTTGACCCAACTGTCACATGAAATCTTATTTATATTGAAGTTTTTTAACAATTGTTGCACATTTTAGACTGGTATCGTTAATATTTAATTAAAACTTTCTCGTCTAAGACACATTCTGAAAACTATTTTATAGCTACTGTTAATAAGTGTCGGAAAATTTAAATTTGGCGCATTCGCATTTCCGGATATGTCCGCAATCAGAGGCCACTTTTTTGGTCTCCTTTTCATAACGATTCCCTCTTTTGTCTTTTTGCTCGATGGTCCAAATATTATATTCTAGAAACACCAAAATTCCTTGAGTTTTGGTGTTTCCGCAATACATGAGAAATTTTCAAATGGCAACAAATGTATGTAAATTTAGTGAGTTTTGGGGTTTCTGTTTACTGTTAAGTGCGTATACCTATATACTACCAAAAATTACAAAAAACTGTAATTTCATAAATTTGATTTTTGGGGTTTCTGAAATACGTGATTCATTTATAATGTTCACTTTTTGTAGATGAACCATGCTTGTCGAGCTCTTACCTATATGATGGAGGCTTTACCAAGATCATCAGCGGTTGTAGTGGATGCTGTCCCTGTATTTTTAGAAAAATTACAAGTCATTCAATGCATGGATGTAGCAGAGCAGTCTCTGACTGCGTTAGACATGTTATCTCGGAGGCACTCGAAAGCGATCCTCCAAGCGGTACGTACTTTTTTTATATATATTTTTTTAATTTATCTATACAAGTACATCATTAATGAAAACTGTGAAACCATCAATTTATATTTTGTTTTATTTTTTAGAGAGGAGTATCAGCTTGCCTAACTTACCTCGACTTTTTCTCGATAAATGCTCAACGTAATGCACTTTCAATTACTGCTAACTGTTGCTTAAATCTATCTTCAGAGGAGTTTCAGTACGTTCAAGATTCTTTACCCCTTCTTGCATCCAGATTAACACAGCAAGACAAGAAGTGCGTGGAAAGTGTATGCCTAGCCTTTTCGCGTCTAGTTGACAGTTTTCAGTTAGAACCGTCTCGACTTCAGGAAATAGGTATGTACATATATCATGTAGTGTATGAATATTTTTAAATATCCTTGATATACCCACACTCAAAAATGTTTTGCATAATATAATATTTTCAAAATTATCCACCAAAATCTGTGACATGTCTTGTACGATGGGGAAGCGCATTGTCGTCCATAAAAATAAATTCTGAACGAACAGCTCCTCGCCACAAGCGTACAACAGGCCTAAGAATGATATCAATATAAATTTTTTCATTCACAATAGGAATTAAAGGAGTTTTATTATTTAGCATGATGCGCCCCAAAACATTATGGAACCACCTTGATATAGGACTCTTTGGACAGCTTGATTAAGTCTATCGTGTCGATTTGGGTTTCTCCAAATCCTAATTCGGCGATTATCCGACAAAAGGCTAATTTTGGTTTCATCAGAAAATAACATGTTTCCCTATCTGTTGTTATGCCATTGTAAATGTTCATTATCCCATTCCAGTCGAGTCCTTTTCTGCTCTAACGTAAGCTTTGGTACAAATAATGGTCTTCTTGTAAATAAATTCGCCGAATTAACCTGTTTCTAATAGTCTGATCGCAAATTACAATATTATGAGCTTGCTGGAGCTCTCTTCTAATGGCTGGGGCAGTCATAGAGGGGTTTCTCCGGGCAGTTAACGTTAAAAAGCGTTCTATTACATTGGTAGTAATCCTGGTTCTTCCGCTTTTTGGACGATCGCTAACAGAATTCGTCTCTCGATATGTTTTTACAATCCGAGACACATCACTCTGATTAACTCCAACCCGCACAGCAACGTCGACTTGTGTGTGGCCTTCCGTGGCAAAGTAACGATTCTAGCTCTGTTGAACTCAGATATCACTTGTCTATTTATATTGTTCGCTACAAAGGGCCAATTTTTACAAATATCGGTTTTCCAAAACTGTTGAACGCAATATGAATACTGAGAATCTCCGCGACGATTAAGAAACAAAAAACAAGCAATAAAATACAATATTTTAGTAGACAAAAAAAATCAGTGCAAAAAATTTCAAATGAGAAACGTTGAGTAGCGTTAGACAGGCCATTCACGTTCCGACTTGTGGTCCCACTTAGTAGGACTACTAGTTGGATGTTCGTCTCCACTCACGCTCCGACTTTCTATCCAACTAGCGGTCCAACTTCAGTTCTAGGTTGTTTTAATCGCTTAACCAAAAAATGTATCGAATAAACACTACGCAAAATATAATAATATGGTATATATGTTTAAAAATCAGGTTTCGTTTCTCTAGTTATTAGTCTAGGGCTGAACTAATTAATTTTTTCAACTCTTGATTTTTATGACTTTTAAGATGTAGGAAAAAATTATAGTTTTTAAAGATTTGTATAGGTATAAAATTTATATTTTATTTGTTTTAAACTGGAGCTGGGATTTATTTTGTTGTGTGTGTGTCGTATATTTTTAATAGGAATAATTGTTCGGGCAATTGAAAGTTATTTTCTATTATTTTTTTGCGAACTAGGGATCTTTTGCTACAACTATGATTTAATTTTCATTGTTTGTTGATAATTCTTCCGTAACCAATCCGGAGTATCGGAAATTTACCTGTATAGGAATGTCCGAAATAGATCTACAGAAAGGAAAATGATTTGCCCTAACAAAAAGGTAATTTTCGTGCAATTGAAAGTTTATTTTCTATTAAATATTCGCGAACTAGAGATCTTTGCGTAAAGTATTTCATAGAAATCTCATACGTAACAGGTGCCGAAAGTCAACTGACTGAGGAAATTTTCGATCCAACCTGTGATCCGACTTCCAACTTCACCATTCACGCTCCGACTTCGTCGCCAGTCGGAAGTCGGATCTTCAAGTCGTCCCACTAGTCGTACCACTAGTTGTCCAACTAATCCAACTAGCGCACTCACGGTCCGATTTCAGATCCAACTGCAGAAGTTGGACCACTAGTCGTACCACAAGTCGGAACGTGAATGGCCTGCATTACAGATAATATGCAAAACATTTTTGAATGTGTGTATATTGAATATGGCGTAACGCCTTTGTTAAACTCTAGTTTTTTTTTCTGGGGCAGAGTTAATTCTTGATTAAATCAATATCGTGTATATTTTATACGTGTAGTGTACAAGGGTTTTATATAGGAAGGACAAATGGGTTAATAGGAAGAAAAAATTAACATTTATTAATTGCTTATAAATTAACAAATTACTTATAATAAAAAAAAACCATTTCCCAAATCGCTTCGAGCAAAACTTTTAGGGGTAACTCATCGAAATAAATACTTTTTTATCTTAGCAATTTTTCGAAAAAATGCTTCCTTTTCTTGGTATTTGCAATTTTTGTTGAAAAAGGCCTTAAAGTCTTGTTTTAACGTCTTATTGGGTGAGGGTTATAACAATATTTTGTATGTATGTGATACCACAAGTTCGTTTAATGACATTGGAAAAAAACAGACTTATACAGTTTTGCAGAAATTTACTGATAGTCATTTGGAAAAATTAACCAATTTACCTACTTTATCTATAAGAAAACGATAACATTGAGGAAAGCTGGAAAAAAACACAAAAATTACATAATTAACGCAGCAACAAAGCATATCAAAAAAGAAAACACCATGATTTAGGGAGGAAGTAAAGACAAAATGTGAAGAAAATAAGAAATCTTTCTATAATACAGAACACAACATACACAACACGCGTACAACCACTATAAACGAATCAGAAATGAAACAATTATTTTAGTTAGACAAATAAAAAAGGAACACTGGCTGAGCTTCTCAAAACAGACGGAACACAAAAAGAAATATGGAGAACGGTCAGAGGACAAAGGAAAGAGATGAACGAACTAATAAAAACGAAACACATTTAGAAGGAAACATGGGGTAGACTACTTCGATCAATATTTTCCTAAGGGGGACGATAATGAACCACCAACACCAGAGGTGACGACAAACGAAGAAATAAATGAACTTTGATCATATAAAAAGCAAATATCGAGCACAGTTTAATTAATTTAATCTTGCACAAGTACTTTCGATCTCTAGATCATCTTCAGGGGCATTTCGTCAATTGCGGTCTATCCGACAAGAATAAAATGTCAAACATAAAATGGTACATCACACTACACTACACAAGGACAAAGTGTAGTGTAGGTGTTTATGAAAAATAGTATTATTCTAAAAAATCTTTCTGGCAACCTGGAACGAGCTCTTTATTGAAATGTAATTTCAATCTTACTGTGTGTAATTTTATGTAATATTTTTTTCTTTTAATAGCAAGTACCGAACTGTTGACAAACCTTCAACAACTACTTGTTGTGACTCCTCCGATAGTTAGCACTGGAACATTCATCACCGTTTTAAGGATGTTATCGGTAATGTGTGCAAATTGTCCAGATCTTGCACTAACACTTTTGAAACAAAATATAGCAGAAACTTTGGTGTATTTATTGACCGGATCTGCCGAAGTAAATCAAGAAGAAATTGAGTTAATACCAAGGTAAGATAAAATGTTAGAAAATATTAATTTTTTTAGAGATTTTTCAAGTGTTCGCATGGTAATTTCGCCTGTAAAAGATTATCCTTTATTTAATTTGAAACAACCAACGTGGCCAAATAATGCTACCCAAAGTGAAATATAAAACTTATTAACGATTAAATATAATCAATATCACTGATTTTGTAATTCTGTTTGAAAGTATTCTGTTTTTTACACATCTTTTATACACTTCTGTCCTTGGTTTATTTTATATAAAAACTTACTTTTTCTTTTTTTCGTATAAAAAACTTAACTGTTAATTTTCATGGTGCCTGAGTTAAACTTTTGCTTCAGTTCCATCTTTTAGAGCCGCATAACTTTGTAAGTTATTCTTTGCAGTTTTCTTGCTCATAAGTGCATTTAAATTATTTTAGATTCATGTTCTAAACGTCTTCAATAAATTAGCAAGTATCCTTTTTTTTTTCTTCTGCAAATTTTGACCGGCAACCTCCCACAATTATCCTTGTGAACTACATTGTGTGTATAATGTTAGTTAGACCATTTATAACTCTAACGACCGTACAGACTTTAATGCTGTTTGGATGTTTGGTTTCGGCTTCGTCTCGAATAGCAGAGCAATCATTAAAATATCGTAAAAGTTCACCGAAAAAAATTAAACTTAGCCCTAGGTATATTTTTAGGAGTTAATAACACTGCAACACCGGTGAAATCGGTCAAAACTACTACCTAAATATTTTTTTTTTACCAAAAGTACCAATTTAATTCCAGTAAATTCGAGCTAACAGTTCAATTTGAGACTGTCTTTTTTCATGTTGTCTGTGGTTTGTAGTGAAAAATCATTAGGTTGCCCGTCAATTTTTGTTTGTTTTTCATTATATCAAAATCCGGTAATAATTGCAACCCATTCAGCAAATGGTTATTTTGTTGTACATGAATTAGCTAAAAATCCCATTAAATAAAATTTCAAATATGTACGGAATTAAAACACAAATATGTAGACTAATAATTTCAAATGATAAAGCAAACAGATGATAATATTTATCACGAAAAACAATCAGAAAACAAATGAAGATATTACAAGTAAAATTGCGATGAATTTAAAAAGGAATTGTTGATTACAAAATAGTAAAAAAATGCGAAATTAATTGGAACCCAATGTAACAGTAAAATATTTCATTCATGTAAAATATTTTAGTCATAAAATTATTTATAATATAATATTATAATCATGATAATATCACCATATTAGTCCATTGAGTACAGCTATACGAAATATTCGTTGTTTATTGCCACAATTTTCCCTTACAAATTTTTTAATGAGGTTAGCATCAGTGTTTTCCAATCGATATAGTGACGTTACCATAATAGCTATCACAATGGTGGGTACATATGTTAGTTACGCACACATTTGGTAACTATTGTAGTAACGCTGGTGTTTCAGAAAGACAACGCTAATGATAACCTCCTTATAACTTATAGATTTGTATCAAAGTTGTGGCATAGATAAACATTGCATAACAGGTGCAGTCGTTGTATTAAGTTTTAATGCACTGTGTATATTAATGCATACATTCTTTTTACTATTATTATTATCTTTACATTTGTAATTTGTATGGCATTGTCTATTTATACTCGAAATTTAAAAGAACCATGTCTGTAGAGAAGTAAAAAGACTACAGAAAATTGTTTAAAATCCTTTATAAAAGGTATATAAAAAATGCCCCAAACGGGCTATCACAAACACATTGCAAAACGTTTTCGGATTGATAAATTCATCATCAGTGCAAACGGTTGTACGTGCTAGTAGCCACCAAAATATATGGGTCAAAACCCTTTAAATGTTTTAAATTTGTAGTTGTTTTACATTATTAATAGTTATAATTTGTGATGTTTAAGTTACCGTTGGATAGGTAACATGGCGGCGTATGACTCTACATAAGTAAAATGGTCCTGAAACGAAGTGTCTACGAGGACCTGTTGATAACAACTGATATGATGATAACAACAGTTGTTATCAACAGTTTCCCGTAGACACTTCGTCTCAGGACCATTTTACTTATGTAGAGTCATACGCCGCCATGTTACCTATTCAACGGTAACTTAAACATCACAAATTATAACTGTTAATAATGTAAAACAACTACAAATTTAAAACATTTAAAGGGTTTTGACCCATATATTTTGGTGGCTACTAGCATGTACAACCGTTTGCACTGATGATGGATTTATCAATCCGAAAACGTTTTGCAATGTGTTTGTGATGGCCCGTTTGGGGCATTTTTTATATACCTTTTATAAAGGATTTTAAACAATTTTTTGTGATATATGGTATACAGCCAGCTACAGGAACTTAGTTTCCTAGTGGAATTTTAAAAAGACTACAGTTGAGGTACTGTTTCTCTGGACGCCGTCCTAGGACGTTTCCTATTTGTCAGTCTGTTTTCTTTGGAGTATTAGCGAACTCAGACCAGAACATAAGTTAAGATACTCAAAAAGGAGTGAAACATAATGCCGAAACGTTGTCTGAACACAGTAACCCACATACTAATTATGAAACTTGTTTTGTTAGTTATACAGTTATACATAGGGCAAAGTATTCGATAGTAGATAAAAAATTTAATATCATTTAAGGGTTTCAAATAATTTTAATCCTCTTCATCAAAGCCCACATTTTCTACTCCAAAATCATCAACATTATCAATAAAGTCACCCTGTTTAGCTGTTCTTAAGAAATTATAAAATGGTTTTAGATCATGTGGGACTAGCTTTAATATTTCTTTGAGATCTTTAATTTTTTTTAGGATAGTGGTTTACCCGTTGGCCATAACTGCTGATCCAACTTCATATTTTTGAACGATTTCTGCAGTCGACCTTTTTTTTCTACATCTATTATCAGTACGTTTTCTTCTGTTATGCCTGATTTCATGTAGAGCAAGAAATACTCACTCTTAAAAACTTTGATTTCATGAGTCTTGAGCCAATTTACTTTCTCTTTCTCTGAGTCAGCTTTCCTGTCTGTGATACATTCCAATAGTTTGTCAATCGAAATCATTTCTCCTCTTTCTATTTCGTTTTTTCTCTTACATTCAAAAAACCTAAACAACATATTTACTTTGAATGAAGACGATAGATTAAGAGGCCATCAATACAAATTAAAGAGGGAACAAACTACTACAAGGTCCAGGGCGAACTTCTTGCCAAACAGAATCTTTAATATATGGAACAATTTGGATCAAAACACCATATCGGCAGCTAGTGTTAACATCTTTAAAAACAAACTTGACAGCACTTTATTTTTTTTATAGGATAGGATATTTTTTCTCGGACAGCATTATTTATTTATTTATTGTGTCACAATTCAATTTTCGTTAATTGTTTAACTACTTAACTTTATAATTAGTATTAGTTTTATAAGGATCTATTTTATTTTTGTTTATTTTTGCTTTTTGGGCATAATAGGAGCTCGCTCCTCTGCCCTTATTTGTTATATAATAATAATAATAATAATAATAATAATAATAATAATTCTTTCATACCATTAATATAGCCTACGTCCATCTATAAGCATTGTTGGTTCTTTTTGAGAACGCTAGTATAGATAATTAGTACAATGAGTGATACGATATCATGTCTTGGGGATGCTTATTCACTATTATACACTCTAGAAGCTAAGTGTCTGTATAATTTGAAGCTCTGCTGTATTACCGTTACGGTCAGCCTTTCATAAATCCAAACTGTTTTTTAGATTTCTGTTTCTCGAAATATCAATTTTTATGATATTTCTGAGAGAAATTTTATCATCTTTCATTTTATTAACTTATCTATTGTTTTAGGCAACCTCAAGAACAATTCGAAATAACGGCACTTATTGGAGAACTTATGCCGAAGTTACCAACAGATGGCATTTTTGCTGTAGATTCTCTTCTTGAAAGACCATCTAGCGTCGCCAAAGATCAACCGATCTGGCAGTGGCGAGACGATCGCGGCCTGTGGCATCCATACGGAGCTGTTGATAGCAGAATAATCGAAGCTGCCCATATGAATAGCGACGATGAGGTTAGTTTAAATACTTTGGGAAGAATTTACACGATAGATTTCCATTCAATGCAACAAATCAATGAAGATACTGGAACATCTAGACCTGTACAGGTAAATTATATTATATTAATAGCAATTGGTTAATACTTGTAACAATGTAATGTTATTAACAATTCGTTCGGGCTTAACAGATTAACTGCCAAGGTGATTTTCGTAAAATTTTTCTCTGGTGCCAAAGTGAATATAATATTATAATATGGAGACAATAACAAAAGTAAAATAATTTCCACAAAAAAATTAAGAATTTACCGTTCAAAACGCAAAATCGGCCGATCTGACTACTTCGGCGCCAGCAGTGGATAATAGCCTCGTATGCCGAGCGGTCACGGGTCAGGTTCATCAGTTACCTTGAGCTTACGCACTTGTGTTGTAGTACACGTTGCGTTTTATTACGGTTTTCATGCGTTTTTTAGAGGATTATTGATTGAAAATGCTGCCAAATTCACGTGGTGCATATTTATTACGATTAGCAAGGGAAAAACTAAGAAAACCCTAAGTTTTTTTGTTATTTACTAGCGCTTGAAAGTGAGGTTAGAATTATTTTAGAAACTGACGAGGAAGGTAACGACTCCAGACACATTGGATTCTGAGAAAAACTTGTATGTACCTTCAAGTTCAGAAAATACTGATTTTTCGTCTACTTCAGTTGAAGATACTACTCCAAAAAAGAAGGTGCTAAAAATTGAAAGCCGTGCTGTTGTACATGAAAACAGATGTCTGGATAACGGGCCGGATATTGAAAATGTTTTGTTTGAAGACCCAATAGACAATCGAACCCAGTTCGCAATCACCAATCATACGAAGATACTACTACGCAAAAAAATGAAACTAATGTAATGAAAATCATATGTCTGATAATGAGACGGATATTGAAAATGTATTGTAGAAAAACCCAGTACTCACTCAAGATAATGAAATCTCTAATCAGGAACAATGGACGAACCCAGTCGGGTATCACCAACGATTGAAATTTATAATACTTTCGGTCTCAATCCAAATTATGCAGCAGCTATTTCTTTAGATGAAGTAACACCGATTTCCTGTTTTTATGCATTTCTTAACTTCAATATTATCAAGGTTACATGACTGGCAACCTACGAACAGGGAAGAAATATTGAAATTTATTTACCTACTAGGGTACATGGGCTTAGTTCGAATGCCTTCATTGTCACTTTACTGAAGTAAAGAATCTTTATTACGTAATGATATTGCACGATGATATGTTCCATGAGCCGAAATCACTTTGAGCTTTTGCTTAATATGTGGCACTTTTGTAATAACGATTGCGAAGAAGGAGACCGCTTACACAAAATTAGGCCGTTGGCGAACTTGTTTATCAAAAAATATCAAGAAATTTATACTCCGGGAGAAGTATTTTGCATCGACGAGAGTATAATCCCGTTTCAAGGCAGACTCGTCATAAAACAATATATACCCCAGAAAACACACAAATATGGGGTGAAAGTATTGAACTTTCATATATACGCTGGAAAAAAGAGTGACAGGGGAGCTTTAGTTCCTACAAATGTGGTAATGGATCTTTCAAGAAATCTTCTAAATGCAGGTCGTACAATTATTACCGATAATTTTTATACAAACCTTGAGTAGGCTAACCTTCTTCTAGATAACCGTACGTATTTGCTGGGAACTTTGAGGACAAACCGCAGCGGAAACCCTAAGGACGTAAGTAATCATGATATTGCTTATCGCGCATGATAAGCGTGATGTACTGATTTTATCAAATAAGCATACTGACAGTTTTAAAATTATTGAAAGATTCACGGGCCCTATAAGTACACCAGAAGCTATAATAGACTACAATGCTGGCAAAGCTTCAATCGATTTGTCTGATTAGATGGCCAGTTATAATTCTGCTTTGCGGCGTTCACTGAAGTGGTATCGCAATGGAATTCATACTGGCCACAACTATTGTAAATGCGCATATAATTTTCAAAGAACTATCTAATACAAATATTACAATAAACAAGTTTCGTGAGATTGTTGTCGCAAATTTGATAAAAGAGTGTTTAGAAGCTAATAGACATGCTGATGTCCCACGACAACCGATTACAAGAAAAAGTATAAAAAACCATACATTATTAAAAAAGGAAGGAGTGGCTGCTGTTGTAAGAAAATATTGTAGACGATGCCAGGAAAAGAAAGTTAGAGGGGAGATACAAAAAACCAGAATAAAAAACGTTACCACGTACTGTCTAGACTGCGAAGATCATCCACATTTTTGCCTTTCCTGCCTCAATGCAAAATATTTAAAAAATTAATGCAATACATTCTGTTTAAATTTAAGTTTTACATTTAAATAAACATTGATTTAATATGGAAACTCACATAGTCGTACACGCCAAGCAGTCACATTTCATGTGCAGTTTAAATGGAAGCGGCGGTCAGAATAGTGTTTCTGCTAAATTTATTGTCAAATGACGCAGCGCCCTATTTGACCGTCATGGCGCGTGGGGATAGTCACACAAGCGGCTTATTTGACCGCTACGGCAGTGAACCTGTTAACACACTGAATTTTAATTTCTAAATGAAGAACTAAAGTTGTTTGTATATGACTGTGGACACTAAAAAGAACTAAAGTAACAAACCTTTAATATTGGATAATGAAAGTAGTATAATGTCTTTATTAATTCTAATTTATTGTTCTTATCTTAATTTACTAAAGATTCAATATTTATAACACACACGAATTTATCAAAGCCTCTATAACTACTAATTTATTTTACACTTAATAATTACAAATAATTTATTTACCATGCGATACAATTTACCGCGAGACCGGACTTCTTGTTGACTAACTTTTTCAATAAAATCCATATTATTTATATATAAAATGCCGTTATCTATTAGAAGGGTCTGGGGATGCACCAATGACATTACATCCATTAGGTGACTCATTGGGCTGGTCTAGAAAAGTCGATCGCTTTCTCGTCTAATAAAATTTGGAGGGCTCGGGCCGTCGACTGCACTATTGTTACCTGTACTGGTTATTCGACCCTTTTGGAGAATTCGGTAATATTTAACCTAGAACATTCGTGAATGAGTAAATATGTTTACAGTTTTTATACACCATAATATTTATTATCGTAACAGTAGCTTCCATACAATGTGAAGTTTGAAATGTTTAGCACATTTGAACCTACTTGTTTTATCTTTGATGAAAAACTTTGGTTATTTAAAAGTTAACTAGAATCCAATACTAATATCTATAGAATAACAAATAATAAATTAAAACAATAAAATATTAAAAGAATAAAAAAACAAAATAAAAATAAAATAAAACCAAATTTATATATCTTTAAAAATAGTATTAGGTTTATGTAGCACTAACAATCTCTTATATATATTTATCAATATTTTGATAATGTAAGAATATAAAAAAACGCTGAAAAGGTGTAAACAATGTCTTTTTATTAAAGTGACGCCAAATGGCGTCGACTACTTACGTTACAACGGAAACTCGACTATTTACGTCACAACAGGAACGCCACTGCTTAAAAGTTTAAAAGTTTTACTATTGCTGACTATTACTATATTGTTAACAATTCTTTTCAAACTCGATAAAATTAAAAAAAATTATATTACAGAGACGTTTTACTCCCATGAGTGTTCAGTCTAGTCCTGTTGAACCAACGCAGGCACCTAGCAGACCTGTAAGTGCAAGCCGAGACGCTCGTGTCGCCTGTCTGCGTGAAGAAAGAGGTCTTGCAGCTGCTTTCATTCGCTCCTTGTTTTCTGTTCTGTATGAGGTGTACTCTTCAAGTGCAGGTAAGTGAATTAATAATACTTCTCTTAAAAACTGTAAATAATAAAAATATTGCTGCAAAAATCCTATAGCTTTGATTTTTACTAATAAAAAATTGAAGGAATTTCTGGGAAGGCGGAACGCTAACATGTAAATAAGATTGAGATCTTCACTTTCTGTGAATTGTAAAATTTCGTACAGTAATTTACATCTGTATCGTCTTTTCAAGCTTTCAGTCAACCCTTGATCCATCAATTGCACCAAGCTTGTCACATTAGGAGAAAGAAAGATAATTTTCATGTCATCTATCTCACATGTTAGGTTTCCAGGATGAGTTGGAGTATTATTCAGAAGTAGGACTGCTTTAGTGGGAAGATTTACGTTCTTAAGATGGCGCGTTACTCTCGGAACAAATTCACGCTTAAGCCGTTCTTTGAATAGATCAGCGCTCATCCATTCTGATTTTTGTGATCTGTAGAATACGGGGAGGGACGATGGATGTAAATTTTTAAATGCACGCGGTTTAGCGGACTTACCAACAACGAAAAGAAGAATTTTGTGTGTTCCTGCTGCATTTGAACAAACAGCAACTGTAATGCGCTCTTTATTCTTTTTAAATCCAGAAACCGATTTTTCATGACTTCCCAAAAATGTTTTTTCGGGAAGAATTTTAAAATTGAGACCCGTCTCATCCTATATACTTGTTCGGGTTTTATTTTTCCATTTTTATAATTTCTACAAACTTGTGAGGTAAAATCAGTTGCACCTGTAGCGGCCGCGGACATTTTTTCTCCGCTTACGTGTGCATAATTAACTTCGTGACGTGCTTTCCAGCGAGTCAGCCAACCTTCACTTGCAATAAATTCGGCTCCGTCTATAATTTTGCTGTGTATACATAAAGCCTTTTCCCTTAGAATCGGGCATCTAATAGGTGTGTGCCCCTTCGCTGTTCTTGAAGGAACCCCGACCAAAGAGCTTCATCTACTACGTCAAATTTCGTTTTTTTTTTGGTGCATCTAGTTTTTAGATTTTTGTCTTATTCCATTTGGCGCAGAAATTCTCGATTGAACGCCGTTCCCTTCGCCAGTCATTCACTGTACTTTTCCACTGTACATTCAACTCTGAACATTTTTTTTTACCGATTCACCTTTGTCGATCCCTTTAAGCACACTTAGACGTTTTTTCATCGTCACAACCACACGTTTACGCTTGTCACTCATTTTCCCACAAGACGAATTCAATCCTCTTCGAAAGTAAAAACAGAAATGACAACCGGGGCGAGAGACGATCATCAAGCGACGATGATCGTGTCTTACGCAAAACAATAGGAATAATAGCAGTTTAATGCGGGACCGGGTAAGAGGGAGTCTATTTTATACATATAATTCAGTAGTGATGTTAACAACAAGATCAGGAAATTAATTACTATTTATAACTGGGAATAAGCCACAATTAAAGATAAAAATACGTTTATTAACGTTTCAATTTCCAATTCGGAAATCGTTCTCAAAATACAAACAGTATTTTGAGAACGATTTCCGAATTGGAAATTGAAACGTCAATAAACGTATTTTTATCTTTAATTGTGGCTTATTCAAACAAATAATACAAACAGTATTTTGAGAACGATTTCCGAATTGGAAATTGAAACGTCAATAAACGTATTTTTATCTTTAATTGTGGCTTATTCCCAGTTATAAATAGTAATTAATTTACAATGCCACAAGAAAATAGCTTCAGAACAAGATCAGGAAAGACATATAATGCAGCATGAAAAAGGGAATAAAATAACTTCTGTGGAAATAATATAAATAATTTAGTTTGGCATGAATAATATTCATGGGAGTACACTACTTTTTCTGTCAAAATAACTAGAGCGCTACAGGCCATGGAACTCATAGGCTTTCATGTAGCAATGAATAACTCATCGTAGTCATCTATTAGCTGAATCGATTTATCTGTGAATTTTAACTCTTTATCTATAACTTTCTATTTTTTACTGAAAAATATCTGGCCGGAATTATGGCTTAAACCGGTTACTACTATTCTAAACACAATAAGATGTTAGACTGCCACACTGTTGAATTACCGGACCAACCGAATTAATAATATTATGTTTAATAATTGTGTTATTTTTTGTCCCTTCATCGCCATACCAAATCACACTCATAACTACTATAGTTAACAATTTTATATTATAACATACTTTTATTATATGTATTATTTTAATATTTGTTGTATTGTTAGGTCCAGCAGTAAGATGCAAATGTCTTCGAGCGTTGTTAAGAATGGTTTATTATGCCAGTTCAGAGTTGCTCAGAGATGTATTGAAAAATCAAGTGGTTAGTAGTCACATAGCAGGTATGATGGCTTCTAGTGATTTAAGAATCGTCGTGGGAGCTCTCCAAATGGCTGAAATTTTAATGACTAAGTTACCTGATGAATTTGGAGTACATTTTAGAAGAGAAGGGGTCTTACATCAAATCAACAGGCTAGCTGATCCAGAAGTAAGTCATACAGTATTTTTAAATTAAATAAAGTTTTAATATGAGTTAATATTTGCAAAATGCCAATAGTCACTTATGCCAATATATAAATGTACTTAAAATTGAGATAACAGTATGGATTATTAGTCAAATCATTGATTGTAAATTTATTCGGTGTAATTGGTATGGAAAAATTTAGAAAATGTACAAGATAAACGTAAACATATATCAAATATCATTTAAGGTTATAGGCACGAAATGGCAAATTTTGTTTGCATGTTTTCGATAACTTCAAAAAAACGTTTGATACAGTTACAAGAACACAAGTGCTAGAAGAACTTAAAATATTGTAGGTATAGAAAAAATCTACAAATATACTTAACATAGACAAAGGGTATCCGCCGTTAAGATAGGCAAAATGCCCTCACCCCCATAATTGAATTGTGTGATTAAAAAATCTATTCTAAAACAACAAAAAAAGCAAAAAACTTTTTTTTGGTGGGATGTAATCAATCAAAACTTTTAAAAAATTCCCACGTACAGTTTAGACACTTAAGTGTCATTTTTTTTATTTTGTATATTTTATCATAAAATTGTTTTACATATCTTTGTAAATACTGTTATTGGAACAAAACCGTGACACTTTGGCAGTATGGATGCGCGGCTAAAACTTTGTTTTCCGCATGTTTCAAGAAATCGCAAGCTTCTCTGAATCTAGGAAATGCATTGCCCCAGAATATTTTATAAATTTTTGACAACATTCTGTTTAATGATGTGGAATCGCAAAAACAGTTGGGTAAATCCAGTAAAAACTCCCGAATTACCCTTGAAACTTGGTTTTTTCATAAATGTTGGTTGTATTTTCTTCTTTGAGGCCTGAAAATACTCTTTTTTTTTGTATATTTTCTTATGCATTGCAAACTCCTTGATTTAGGCTATATCAATCTTAAAAAATATTATTAACCCTTTATCTTGGAAAATAATGGTTTCTGGGGTGTTTCGCCCAATTTTTTAATGTCCTAAAGGACTCAGTTACGTCAGAATTGTATATAACCTATAAAATGCCTTAATCTGATCTATTTTGTAGTCTATAAAAACCCCTACTAAACCAGTTTTTCTGATTTTTGAAGGTAGCGTACCTTCAAAATCAAAAATCAGAAATATTTTATATGCTTTTTGATAAAATCTGCAGCCATCGCCGGAAAAAAAATTATACGCTTTTTTCGAAAAGAAAATGCATTTTTAGGTTATGCAAACTTAACCTATGGATTTATAAAAATTAGACACGTTTTGTAAAAGCCTCAAGTAACTGTGTGTGAATTTTTTGAAATTTTTAAATTGATTGTAACCCACCGAAAAAAATAAATAAATAATAACAAAAAAAATTACGTTTTATGGAAGGGGGAGGAAGTTGCGTTCTAAATAAAATTGAGCTGAGTTTGAGTAAAAAACTGATAATAAATTTCTGAAAAAACTTATTTGTTTGTACAGCATTTGTTTTGTTTTCAATTTTTTATTTTTTATTTTTTGGATTATTTCCTATAGACTGTGACAATTTCATCAATATACCCAACTATGACGAATAAAAGATATGGTTGAGAATAACGTTGCCTATCCTAACGAAAAGTTTGCTTAAATGAAATTATGCTAACTTGTAAGTTCATCAGTTATTTCTGTAATAAGGATCTGTTCATAGTATGGGCGATGAAAATTTAACATATATACGGTGTTGTGGTTGTTCTATTATCTAAATTTTATTTGTAGGTACCTCTGGGAGTCAGTCCACCGAAAACAAGTAGTAGTGCCACATCGTTTTCTTCTACATTAAACGAATCTCAACCTGGAACATCGCAATCTTCAACAAACGCTTCTCTACAAACTGCTAATGGTTCCGCTGTCTTAGGAGCTACACCAGTTTCCTCTACAATGTATACATCAACACCAGATACGCAAAGGTTTGTAGGAACTAAAATTTAATTAGAATCTTAGCATCTAATATTTTGACTAAAATATAGGAAATCGTAAAAATCATTTTTAACTTCTTATTTTAAATAAAAGTATAAGTTAATATGAAAAGAATACAGGAACATGAATATTTACATCTTGTGTAATTTGTCACTTTGGTATTTGTATTTTGACTGGTTTATCACATCAGACATGGCTTGCAAAACAAGAAGATATTTCCATTATTACATTATTTACATGGTTGATACAAATAACGTATATCTCTCATACATATTTAATTTCAATAAATTTAATTTTAATACATCAATGATATAAATTAATTTTTGGTTACAGATTACAAGAGTCCGAAACGAGATCACCTAGTCCTTCTCATGTACGTCTTAGTGATGTACTGAAACGAAAACGAGTGACAAAGCGAGCAGGAGGATCTAGTCGATCAAAAACAAGGCATGAAGACATGCCCCTTTCTCCTTCACTTATGCAGGATTTGTTCACTAAAGCTGCTTCCATAGGAAATTCTACACCAAGGTAAGTTAATACAACGAAATTGTTAGTTCTCAGCATTCTTTTTTCTAGCTGTTCTAACCTTTTAGCTTTTACTTGCATTTTTATTACCACATTTCATACTAACTATCATTGAAGAAAATGTAATTTCGCAAATGATTTATTATAAATTGTAAAAATACAACAAGAAATAGTCATAAGTTGTATTCATTTCTAAATTATAATCAAAAATTAATGCAAGGAGAAAAGATATATAAGAAATTACAATAATTATTTTATTAAATAAACAAGTTTAGGTTATTTGATTTGCAGTTTACACACGAGTTATATATTAAAATTGATAATAATTTCGCTGATCTATGACACTAGGTGTCGCTCTTCCGAACTTACACATAGCGAATATGCAAAACACATTGGTAGTATATTTTAGGTGAAGTAGACCAAACTCAAATCATCTCCTGCTGCTTCTATACTTGCGTTTTATTGTAATTTTCTTTATTTTAGCTTAAAATCGTTTTCATTTCATATTTAAATTTTCTGTCATCTTACTCAGTAGTATATTTTTAGAGAATTTATTACACTTTATTTACGTAATGTCTAGAATGTTAATAAAATTTTAACGTTTTGTTTCAGTAATTCTAGACCCAGGTATTCTGGATCCGGTTCCAAAACTAGTTTCTTGCAAAGTTTAAATCCGGCTAGGTGGGGAAGAAGTCTGAATTCTTCACATGACCGTAACTACAGCAAAGATTCTTTAAATAATCTGTCAAAGTCTGCATCAAATTCACACATAACTGCCGGAAACAGGGAAAAAACTAGGACATGGATTCGAGATCAGGTAAACATATATATTATTATTAGCATAGATTTATTAAAACGTTAGAAATATTCTTGCTAGGTATTTTCTTTACGTATCAATAAATTAAACGTTTGCTTGAATGTAAGAATTTAAAATGATGTAGCCAAAATGCCAAAATGTGGTAGAACGTTTCACTACCACTTAGGAACCCACTTATCAATATCTGGCGAATACATCGAGATGCTTTAAAACATCTAAAAATCTTAAGCCTTACCAGCATAAATTAAATCAATTTCAGAAAGACGGTCTTACATTTAAGACGCGATTTCGCCAAGTAGGAAACCTTAGGATTTCTAATGTTATTAGATGGCGTTGTATGTAAATAAATAATTTTATAATTATTGTACTATGACGGGAGAGATTTAATTTAGATTCGTAGCCTCTGCATATGTCGCTCTGATGATAACTTATGAGGTTGAAATACGTATAAGCGGATGCCAGATGCCCTACATTGAAATTAAATCTAAGACCGTCTTTCTGTTTTAGTTCTTTCCTCGGTTTCGAGTACTAGAAACTAAATTAATGCGTATGTCAAAAGTTGCACCTTTTTTAAGTATAAAAAATATTATTAGCAGTTAAACATACAGTGGCTCAATATTTATTAAAACAAATACATACTCAAATATCATACTTAAACAACAATAAATATTTAATTCATGGATTCGACCGTTACTTGATGGAAATTCATTTTATATAATACCGAGCATAAAATTAGGGTCACACCCTAATTTGAATTTATTTTAGAAATTATTCTTCGGTTTTAACTATTTTCGGTTGTAACATAGTTTACTGGATGGATTTCTTGAAAAAAAAACTGTTGTTTCGACAAGCGTTTGAGATAAAAAGGGCCCTTAGCCTAAATCCTAAAAACCGTTATCAGCACAGTTTTTGTTTTTATAGTTTTAACGTCAATTGTAAATTGTTTGTGTATTGGTGTCACTGTCAGTGTATTGCAATGAGCATAAATTCTGTTGTGGCGGCAAGAATTGTGGCGGTGTTAGAAGATGGCCACGGTCAGCGCGAAACTACGAGAAAAACGTTGGTGTAAGTCTCTCGAGTGTGCAACGAGTATGGCAACGGTACGAACAGACCGGTCTGCTTAATCGAAGACTTGGTTCAGGTCGAGGCAGGATTACAACAGCTAGAGATAACCACTTTGTCGTTTCTAGTGCTTTGAGAAACCAAACGGTCACGGCAGTTTCTCTTCGAAATCATCTGCAAGAAGTGAGAAATGTAAACATAAGTGAATGGACAGTTAGGAGACGACTTCATGCTGCTGGTTTATCTTCTCGAACTAGAGTAACTGGACCGCCGCTTTCCCGTGAACACCGAATTGCCAGATTGAATTTTGCACGAGAACACTTGGCTTGGACAATGCAGAATTAGGAGTCGTGTATTGTTTTCCGATGAATCGAGATTCTGTCTTACGGGCTCAGACAAACGTGTAAGAGTGTGGCGACGTCCAAGCGAGAGATATGCTCAAGCAGGTGTTGCCTAGCGTCTTCCATTTGGTGGAGGGTCAGGGAGGCATATCGTTTGATGCTTGCACGGAGTTAGTCTTTATCGAGAATGGGACATTGACAGCGCATAGGTACCTGACACATTCTGGAAGACCATGTTTTACCGTTTATGGTTATTCTTGGAGACGACGCAACATTTATGCATGATCATGCACGGCCCCACACTGCTAGGATAGTTACTGAGTATTTTGTCGAGGTTTAAATCATACGATTTGTTTGGCCTGCTCGCAGTCTAGATATGAATCCCATAGAACATGTTTGGGATGAGATGACGAGACGTTTACGGAGTCATGTACCGGCCTCCAGAAATTCGAGAGAGCTTCGCGACATATTGGTGCAAGAATGAAATAATCTTCTGCAGAATGTGATCCAAAGCATGCCTCGTCGTTTGCAAGCTATTATCACTGCCAGAGAAGGGAATACTCGCTACTGAAGTTCTTAAAATTTCTTTTTTTCAACAAAAAGCACATCAAATTAAAATTGTCCCTTTTCAATATTCAGTATATCAAAGGAAAATTCTTCATTTCCATTATTTTTAATAAACTTCAAACGACAAAAACGTTGTTTTCTTTAAGCAATCCGTTAATAAACTATGTTACACCGAAAATAGTTAAAACAGAATAATAGTTTCTAAAATAAATTCAAATTACGGGGTGACCCTAATTTTATACACGGTACTGTATAAGAATAAAACACTGAAAACTTTGTTTTCAAAACTTCCACAAAATTTATTATAAACTCTTATCACTACAGCTGTTTCAGTTGATTGTCTTTCTCAAGTGAGAAAGACTTGAGAAGGGCAATCAGCCGATAAGAGTTAATAATAAATTTTGTGGAAGTTTTGAAAACAAAGTTTTCAGTCTTTTATTGTTACAATAAATATTTAATTATTTTATGTTTGATTTTGATGTCACAGCTAAAATGAAACAGATAAGATGCAGCATTACGCATCTTATCAACTTAGGCATTGCATTAAATTCATATTGCAGTTATTTTTATGTTTAGTTTAATATTTCAAAGTATTTAATCGGCATATGACAAGAATGGATCGCCCAATTACGATTAGTGAAAGGAATTTAATTACTACTTACAACTAGCTACAAATAAGATTTTTACCGAACGTGGGGAAAGGCGGATTGTCAGAGAAATAGCAAATAATTCTAAAAGAAGTGCATCAAATTTGCGAGATGAGGTGGAAAGGCGGCTTGAAAAAGGATGTAAACCCGAAACAATTAGACGGATATTATGAAAGAATCTACATGGTCGAACTGCTAGAAATAAACCTTTTATTAACCAAAGAAATATGCGTATGGGATTGGTGTTCGCCAAGGAGTATATTAACAAATATTTGAACTTTTGGAATTCAGTAATATTTGCTGATAAAACCAAAATAAATTTGTTTGGGTCCGATGGAAAAATATCGGTGTGAGAAATCCGAATGAAGAACTAAAATTAAAAAATATGAAAGCTACGGTAAAGCACGGTGGAGGTGGAATGGTGATGTGGGGGTGTATGTCGTCTGGAGGAGTAGCTAACATGCATTTTATTGAAGGGAATAAAAACCAATACCTGAAATTGGATATAATAGGGCAGCATCTCGCCGCTAGTGCTAAAAAATTAGGTATCAATAATAATTACCGGTTTTATCAGGACAACGATCCAAAACACACGTCATATGGGGTTCGTACTTGGTTCCTTTATAGTTGTCGAAATGCGATTAAAACACCAGCCCAGTCACCAAATTTGAATGTTATTCAAATTAAAAATAAAGTAAATAGTTCATCGATATCAGATAGAAATAAATTGACAGTAAAAATTACTGAAGCTTGGGATAAAATTTCCTTAAAGTACAATAGAAAGTTGGTCGAATCAATGCCTAGACGACTACAGGCTGTAATTGATAATGAAGAAGGACCTACAAAATATTATCTTTTTTCAATGCGTCGAGCTTGTTTTCTTTATTAATTTTCTTGTTTTAAAATTTGCATCATTTTAGCTGTGACATCAAAATCATACATAGAATAATTAAATATTTATTGTTATTTAAGTATGGTATATTTGAAACTCAAAAAATACCTTACGCTGTTTTAGAAGACTTATAGTAATTTAATTTGAGTCTGTAATTTTGTAATGGAAATTGAGCCACTAACACAAGTTTTAAAAAGTCGACTGCATCATTTAAACTGTGAGCCACTGTATATCCAAGTTTAGTTTCATTCAGACGTTTGATGGTGATTATAAGCTTTGATAAGGAAAATGTCTCTAAAATTAGTAGAATACATATACAATAGAAATCCCAAAATTATTCTTTCAAATAAACTATGTATCTTAGACGTAAATTCTTGTCTCAGGATTTTAATCTGTTTATATTTAGTTTTTAGTTCAATATTGTTACAATAGATACTGTAAAATATTTCTAGATAATTTACAATATTAGCTATAATACTGAAGAGAGCACAAAAGTTTAGCATAACGCTTATCGTTTTTTGTTCTAACAATAAATGGATGTATTAAAAAAGTGATAGTATGGATTGCAATGTATTATATATAAACAGAGGAAGTCTATCTGTAAGAGTTCTCGAACGGAATAATAATTTTATATATTTCTTTATTTCTAGGCATCCAAATTTATAGAAACCTACGCTAGCACCGAAGATGATCCCCACCCAGCTACCACTGTTATAATACGTTTAAAACAAGCTATCGACAAGCTTTCAGCTCCAGCATGTCGCGAAGCGCTTCTGGATCTTAGGGAAATATTGATGGAGTCGGACATATCCCCATTTGAAGTAAATTATTCGGGCCTTATAAAGGCACTTCTTTCGTATTTAGCTGATGTAAACGGACCATTTGATAGAGAGCAAAGACTTAGGTAAGTCGAATTTTTAACTTTTATGATGTGTTCATCAAGAAGGAGGATAGGTAACCAAAGTCTACAGAAAACCAACTCAACCGACAAATATTTAAATTATCTCTTAAATCACAAAGTATTTGGTCATCAGCGAAACATAAGGTGTACAGTGTAGTCTGGTCATTGAGAGGGATTCCCATGTCATTACATTTTTTTTCCACAGCTTGAGTGCTTCTTCCAGATAAATTTTGAAAGGGTAGGCGAAATACAGCAACCCTGCTTTAGTCCTTTCGTGACCTTAAATCCCTCAGATATCCTTGATCCAGTTTTAATTTTTGTAGTTCCATTTTTGGACTGCTTTGATAAGACCATCCTTAATGTTGGTTTGCTGTAGGGTTGACCATAGTTTACTGAGGGGTACACTGTCATATGTTTTTTGTAAATAAAGCTAGTTTTAGAGCTGGGCGATCCACAGTAGACCACATGTACTCTATCACGCAAGTTATTGAGAAAAAAAAAACAGCCGTCAATAAAGAAGTTCACCTGGTGTACATAGACCAAATTTAATATGGATAAAATAGTAAAAGCACAAAGAGTGATGGAAAGATCAATGCTCGGGGTAAGACTTGGGGACAAAAAACAAACAAATGGATTAGAACCAAAACCAAAGTAAAAGACTCAGGGGAACACGCTGCCAAATTAAAATGGAGCTTTGCAGGATACAATGTCCGACTGAAGGATAAAAAGTGGAACCACGAAAAACAACAATGGAGACCATGATTAGGAAAGAGAAGCAGAAGATGACCACAAATGAGATGGGCTGATGAAATTAAGTAGATCGGAGACACAACTGGAAGCAAGTGGCACAAAATTAACATTGGATCGATTTGGGGGAGGTATATGTCCAAAGTTGGAATCTTCAGAATTCGATATAACAATGAGCTCTATCAACTGTATAAGGAAACACCCCTGTCAAACTTCATTAGAATACAAAGATTGCAATGGGCCGGACATGTGATACGAATGGGAGAGGATAGGCTACCAAAACGAGCACTGAACGCCAGAATGCAGGGAAAGAGACTAGTTGGAAAGCCAAGAAAGCGCTGGGAAGACACAGTAAGCAGCGACGCACAAGCACTTTTAGGAGTCCGTGTATGGAGAAGAGCAGCCACAGACAGACAAGGGTGGAGGCAAAAAATAAAGTAGGCCAAGGCTCATTTTGGGCTGTAGTGTCGTAGAAGAAGAAGATATGTCCAAAGTTGTATTACTTAAGTAATAAAGCAACACATTCGTTATTTCCGACTTATATTTTCCAGAATTAAAAAAATCTAATCATAATTGAACAAATTTTCCCATTAATAAGTTTACCTCGGACCCATTTTGAAACTTACAAATGGCAATAAGCTTGACAATATCACATAATACATTTAACATCAATTGTGTTAATGTCATTTTTCCATAGCTACTTTGATTTTAACGTAAATATGAAAAAATAAACTTAAAACTTATTTTAATGTGTGGTCATTTTTAAACCAATTGAACCATTCTTTAATTGTTGTTTTACCCCTTGTTACAGTTTCGCAACTGTGTATAAACATTTGTAAAAGAATAACAGACTTTTTGATAGTTTTGATTTTCCTCGTATATTTAAACTGAGATTTGCCTGTACGAAAAATTACAGTTGTTTTAAGAACTAATTTGAAAGAACGTGGCACCTGCGAAATATCACCACACGTGTGTGTATAAGTTAAGGGTTTGAATTCTATCTACAAAATCAGAGTCGAGTTTTATCTTTCAAAGCATAAACATGTGTATGAGTTTTGGGTTAAGAGTACCTGAAGGCTCGGTATCGGTCTGTCGACCGAGAAAGACATCAAATTTGTGGTTCCTGTATATACATCGCTGAAGACATTTGCGATAGCCGGGGTGCTATCTTTTTATGGTGTAAAGTACAATACACCATTTATGTATGTTGCTGCATATATAAGTACGTTACTTGGTATATAGATTTTCTTATTTGCTTAGAACAATTAGCTCATTTGTGTCGCGATCGCGATAGAACATTGTTAAAAGAACATCTTACGTATACATAAATATTTATTTTAACGTATTTACTGTATTCTATATTGTATTCTGTTAACACCGACTATAGTTAATGTACGTTTTGTATTAATATTTGTATTACGTTTAATATAATTCATAATATATGTTATGTTTAATTGCATTTTGTGTAACTTTATCGACAAGATTTGTTCATTTTACCACGGATTAAGTGTATTATTATACATGCGCAAATTTTTCACTCGTTAACGTCGAATATTAATTTATGGTTTATTTCTAATCATACTCAACCATAGCAATCGAAATCTTAAATTCCTTTGTTCCTAAGTTCCTTTGTTGTTAATGTGTTCTTAAAACCTGTTCATCGACATCTTTGTTTTGTAAATGGTTATCTTTTTGGTGTTGTTTCTATTCACTAATATTTAAGTTTGTATATTCTTCTTTAGTTGTAATTATATTTGGTTATGTATATTTATGTTTAATTTCACAGCTTTTTAAAATAGAGTATTATACAGTTCGCTGGCGTTTATTTCTTTTCTTTATTTGAATATACATACCCAATCCGAAAGGGGGAAACCAGCGAGTTCTAGATTGAACATAATACATTCTATCCCCCTTCAGGATGACCCCAATTGTTATATTGAGGTCATCGTATGTGCAGAACGCAACACCCCTGTATTTATCTCCAAAGGACTTTGGTATTATTTGAACTTTTGGAGTTGCAGTTTTTTAGAGAAATTAAATTCTAATAAAAAAATTACTGATTGCGCTCATATCCCATAAAGATCGCTGAAACGTTTTGGGGCAAAGTTGTGAACGAAGGTTTAGAATAGATGTCGTATATAATCATGAGTTTAAACTTTGACCGGACAGCTGAAACAAATTTGACTTATACTGTGATGGTAATATAATTTGTGAAGTTCTAATTTAATTTGAACGGTTAAAATATTACCCTTGTTTAAACTTAAATTAATAAATAAATACTCTTTAATATTATACGTGCATACCAAATAAACGTGTCATTAATTACTATAATCTTTATTTTCAGGGTTTTCTTAAACGTATTTGCTGGTTGTCCAGTTGATGGCAACATTATAGACATACCGGAATTGAATTCCACATGGATGGGGGCGCTAGTCGCTAAATTGAATGGGTGTGTTTCACAATTGGAACAATTTCCAGTCAAGGTACATGATTTACCTGCCAGCTCAGGTGCTGGTCGAGGTGGAACTAGTGCACTGAAATTTTTCAATACACATCAGTTAAAAGTGAGTAATACTTATTTTTTCTAGATGTTACTTTCAACGTAGGTCTAAAAGCATTAGATCAGTAATGAATCATTTGATTTATTGTTATCATGTTTTATCCTTAATCCTTGTCCTTTGTCGATAACAGTCCTGATTATGGAGCGACCTACAAATCTGTGTGCCTCAAAGAATATGTTAAAGGAGGGCGCACACTTTTAGTTGTCATTTTTCATTTAGTTTAGGAACTTAACATGTTTTAACGCTAAGAAGACGGTTGCCATGAACTTTTGAAAAGTTATATCTAGTTATAGATATTTAACGATACAAAACATTAAAAAATATTGGAACATTTAATAATCAATGTAACTGAAGCATTCTATCATTATAGTGTAATCTGCAAAGACATCCAGACTGCTCCAATCTAAAACAGTGGAAGGGAGGTACGGTGAAGATCGACCCCTTAGCTCTAGTGCAGGCAATCGAACGATATCTAGTTGTAAGAGGTTATGGTAGACTTCGAGATAAGGATAGTGCGGATAGTGACGATGCTGATACGGACGACGATATAGACGATACTTTAGCCAGTGTTGTGATATCACAAACTGGTACCAGGCACAAGTTGCAATTTCTTATTGGTAACAACGTGCTGCCTTACAACATGACTGTTTATCAGGCTGTGAGACAATTTAGTAACAACGGAAATGACCAGAGTGAGACTGATACTGATAATGAAACTCCTTTAGGTAAGTTTTTATTTGTATAATTTTCTCTGGTAGGAAATAAATAAAAAAGTTGGAGAGTATCAATATTATAAAATATAATTGTTGTACTAATTTTTGCTGTAGATTTCAGCGAGGGACAATTAAACAAATTAAATTTTAGCGAATTTTAAAGTGTTTTTTGTTATTTAAAATAGTTTAAAAACGTTAACAACCTTCAAGAGATGGGGAATAGTAATTAGATTATTAATATACATTTTTTATCTAAATTACTATTGGTCATAGTATATTTTCTGTCATTTATATGCTTTTTTAAGAAAACTTACATCGCGCCCCTTTTTTTAATGTCTTTAGTTTATGATTTGCATCGTTTTCTTCTGGGTCCGGCTGTTTGTAACTATTCAATAACAGGATTTTAATACAAAGTTGTAATCTTTATAAAAGAATTATTAGCAATTTTATACAAATGCCATGTTCCTATTATTACAGTCTTGTAACATATCATAATCCAGCCCTCACATATTTCTTTATCAACAAACCTAATATGACTTTGTCGACAAAAAATTCGAATTTTCTTAAACGTCTTTGTTAAGTTTTTATTACCTCATAAATCAAACTCTTTCATATATATTCTAAGAAGCGTCAAGCCGACGCGATATTATTCTAGGCTCGTTTACATGTCTGCAGAATCAGAATTATCTCTTCCTTAGTAGGAGAATCATGTTTCGACGCCTCTCATCTCATCTTTCTCAGTTTAGATAATCATATCGCCCCTCGCTCTACGCATGGAATCATATCACATCGTCATCATCTCTATGTATTAACTGTACATAGAAGTTCTCGTCTTCTGTTGGAGAAAAGGAACACTCCCAACACATTAATACCACTACTGTCCACTTACCAAATCATTTTACCTACTTGTAAAGTGAAATATATTATGAAGACATTTAATCACATCTATAAATGATTTTGCAGCATTCGGTATCTGTTAATGGTAGGTTTTTCAACCTTTTATCCTAAATATCTCGGAAAATATATCTACAGCGAAAATGGATACAGTTAAAATTGAAATCGTAGGCTTCGTGTCATTTGTGAGTTACCCAAAAGTGGGTTCATCTCGACGTTTCGCCACAATTGTATGTAGCTTCTTCAGGAGAACAAAGAAAAAGAAAAGAAGACAGGAAGATGGGTAGTTAGCAACGGTAACTCAGTTACTCAACGCAACCAGAGGCGAATACTAACTACCAAGATGGGCATTTGGTCACAGTAACTCAACTACTCAACGCAGCCAGAGGTGAAAACCAAATGCCAGGACAGGGATTCACGTCCAACAGCTCAGAACACTAACGCGTTCCTCCCTTTCTCCCTTCCTAGATCATCTTAACTCACAACATCCGAGTATAAAATTCACAATGGAAGTAGAAAATAATCGGTCCCTTCCCTTTCTCGATGTGTTAGTCACCTCCAAGCCCAATGGCCGTTTGGGTCACTCCGTTTATAGAAAAAAGACTCACACGAATCGTTACCTACATGCTTCATCACACCACCATCCTGTCCAAAAGAATTCTGTGATCAACTCTCTCATCCATCGGACCATTTCGATTTCTGAACCTGACAACCTCAGAGAAGAACTTGGCCATCTGCAAAAAACCCTTGTCGCCAACGGGTACTCCAAGTCCACAATTCAAAATATTACACACCGACATCTACATCCCCCTTTACACCCTAGGACGACAAATTCAGAATCTTCGGGTAATACTCCTGTGGCTTTTCTTCCGTATATTCGAAGTGTCACTGATAGGATTGGCAAAATTCTTCGCAAAGAAGGTATCAGGACTACTTTTCGAAGTCCCAAGAAAATCTCACAATATCTACCTCTCCTAAGGACCCATTACCGCCCCTATCTTCCTGTGGTGTCTATTCTATTCCTTGTTCATGTGGACATGTGTATATTGGCGAAACTGGTCGTTCCGTCAAAACTCGGATTCAAGAGCATCAAAGATGCATTCGATCAGGTCTTTTCTCCCATTCTGCAGTTGCAGAACACTGCCAAGAAACCGGTCATTCCATATTGTTCGAAAAAACTCATATTATTTCTAAGAGCCCCTTCTTTTATTCCAGGAAAATCCGCGAATCTCTAGAGATCCGAAAAAATCCACATAATATCAACCGAGAGGAAGGATACTACTTGTCTCCCATCTGGAATCTCAATCTAGAGACGCCGTCCGGTCCCGCTACCACGATGCAGAAACATGATTGGCCAGCGCGCGCTTCTTGACGTTCGCGTTACGGAGTGTGCCGATACGTCCCGACACGACAGGTCACCGCGACTATAAATAGAGCGGTAGCGGAGTAATCGTCGGATTCACTCCCCGCCTCTTGACGCGTTAGTGTTCTGAGCTGTTGGACGTGAATCCCTGTCCTGGCATTTGGTTTTCACCTCTGGCTGCGTTGAGTAGTTGAGTTACTGTGACCAAATGCCATCTTGGTAGTTAGTATTCGCCTCTGGTTGCGTTGAGTAACTGAGTTACCGTTGCTAACTACCCATCTTCCTGTCTTCTTTATCTTTTTCTTTTTCTTTGTTCTCCTGAAGAAGCTACATACAATTGTAGCGAAACGTCGAGATGAACCCACTTTTGGGTCACTCACAAATGACACGGTCTAAACCCGGAAGACGAATAAACTATAACAGTTAAAATTGTTAGCAATTAAATTTTCTATAGAAAGTTGCTCTTATAATTATTTAAATTTTTTTTGAACTGAAAATTCGTAAAAAAGTAAAGCCTTAAGAGAAATCAGAAAATTAAGTTTTTAAAATTAGGTATCGAAAATTTGAAGCTGTCTCCAAAAAGAATGCGATGTGGTTTTCTGTTCTTACATTTTTGTTCAATACAGCTGTTATCCTAGAAATATAAAATTAGCTGGTTTTCAAATAAGTTAAAATAAATGTAAATACAAGTACAAGTAATTGGCACATTTCTTAAATTATTAGGCTGGTTATTGTATTTGAAAAAAATCAGCAATTTATATAACAAAGAATTTTACACGCAGCTAAATTTTGAACATTTTAGATTTTTTTCTACAGAGCTGGATTGCCAAACTATTATGAAAAAACAGAAAAAATATCGCGTAATTCTTTGTGCGATAAGTTTTTTGTACAAAATTTTCATAACAGTTTGAAAGATTCATTATTCATTATATCCTCCTATAGTTGTTACATGTAGAGTTGCCATTAAATTTTGTCTATTGACATTTTCAGGCAATGCTGGTATTTGGGTCCAAACACATATAATATATTATCGACCATTAAAAGAAGAACCTTCTACTTCCATGAAGAGTAGTAGCAGCGCTTCGACAAGTCATTCTAGCAGGAAAGGAAAAGGTTCTTCGGGAAAGAGCACATCAAGGCGTAGAGCTGATGAACTGTGGAATGGTAATATTATTAAAACATCCAAATAAATCATCATCTAACCACGTTTTCCATTTTTCAGAAGGAGTTACACCTCTAGCCCAATCCCCCTTGGATCCCTTTTTGGTTACCCAGTTTCCGGAAACAGTTACCATTCAAGATGCCTCTTTGGATGTGTTGTGCCTCTTACGCATTCTAAACGCTCTTAATATGTATTGGACTTATTTATATCCTAGTGTTGAATATAAGGCTATATTACCCCCTCTGGAATTCCTCAATAGCAAAATTGCCGCCAAAGCCAGCAGACAGTTGCAGGATCCTCTAGTCATAATGACGGGCAATTTGCCCAATTGGTTACAACAAATTGCTTCAGTTTGTCCGTTTTTGTTTCCCTTCGAAACCCGTCAACTACTTTTTTATGCTACATCTTTTGATAGAGATCGTGCCTTACAGAGGTAAGTACATTTGATATTATAAGCTAGTAAATTAATTTTTTTTATAAATTTCTATTAAAATAACAATAATGTTGATAACCAAAAGTCCTTACTTATTGTTCAAACAATTTAGAAAACCAATATTGCCAATTTCTTATGGGATACATACACACAAATTAAAAATGTTTGGAAAGGTTTTTAAAGTCCCCGCCCATTGTGACGTTAGAGCTTAGGTAGTCCATTATCAATATGATCAATAATTACATCACCATCATTCTAGATGAGATTACGATGACACACGGACTGTTGACACACTAACTCGGAATATTTTCATTGCATAATATATTTATTAGTAATAATTTCAATATTGTAAAAAAAAACAGAAATTAAGATATTTAATAAATTTTTATATGATAAAAAAACTATTAAAATGAAATAAATCGGGAGCAAAGGAAATTTATATAGTAGAGTAGCTTGTTCTTGTTTTGTTTACATAAGATTTAACAATTGTCAATTCTTTACATTTATAGTAAATTTAAGTGTACCTGTTTTTCAATAAAAATTATCCTAAAAAAATTGTTAAAACATTTTTTTTTCAATAATTGTTTAAACAAGTTACATCGTTAATTTAACATTAAATTTATTAATAAAAGACATATTCATCATGAACGCAAAGAATATATACAAATTAAAAAAAAAAATAAACTTGGTGGGCACAGTGAGGATAAACACCATTGTCAGTTAGTCACCTACTGTACTTTGCTTTAAAATTATTTAAATGTGAATCAATTTCAAGTTTATAAACTTTTGAAACGTTTATAACTCAAGGTTACGTTCCATGTGAGTGGGCTCTTAATCACCCTTTTGCTCCACCTAAGATGTCTATTGTGGCTCCTCCCTATGTTAAAGTTGTACTTTCAGTCCACTCTTTTTTACAAAGTGTACTATGACCTTGGTGACAATTCTACGAAGATGTAGGGCTCGACTTAATAATACTCAAATAAACAGAGTATGCTCAAATATACATGTACACCTTGAGGCGGCAGTGTCTTGTTACGAGACTTGAAGTGGAAGTGGAAATTGAAACGTCAATACACGTATTTTAACCTTTAATTGTGGCTTATTCCCATTTAAATAGTAGTTCCTTTTCACATCTAGTAGATCTTTGAATCTCTTCTTTAATGGTATAAAACCTTTAAATGTTTAAGACCCATTTATTCGTACTAGTAGTTACGTTTCATACGCTCCACACAGTCCAATATCGTACTTTTGCCTGTGCTTTTTGTTATTCCATCGACAGATTCTAGCCCTATGAATGTTTCTTTCGTCCCTCCTCTGGCAAGTAAGTCTGCTTTTTCGTTTCTTTTAATACCAGTATGCTCAGGCGCCCACGGTAAATTTGCTTTGTTACTTTTTTCGATCTCAATCAGATTCTCAAGACAGTTCCAAACTAAATTGGAGTTAGTTTGATTCGATTCCAATGCCTTTAACGCCGCCTGGCTACCTAATGTAACTTTAATAGATCTGTCTCTGCAGTTCATCCTTTTTAGTTCCTATTTCTAGCTTGCTATGAAGTCAATTTAAAGAAAAATATCGATTTTCTCTGAATACCATTGAAATGCTTCTTGTCTCCTAGATTCTGAATTCTTCGACTTCTTCACTTCTAAGTGGGTCAAGTATGAAACCACATTGAGAAAATAGGTGACATGACATCCTCCGCCAATTTTGGGAATTCTAAGTGTATCTATTCAACTTTTTGTCCATGATTGTAGGATGGTTAGCTTTTTATAATTGCATCTTCAATAAAATGTTTCTTTTGTGCAGGTACTTTGTCATTTGGTTTCCTATGGTCTTTGGAATGACTTTTAACCATGTTGCATCCTGGTAGAATCCTTTGGTATAACAAATGTAAACGCTTGAACCACATCTTTTGTCAACTGGCAAAGTACGTTTTTCCTAGGTATCTGAAACGTGTTGTTTTAGCTAGATGTTTATACATGCATTTATATTTTATACATAATAATTCTATAGATTCAGAAAGTAAATTTAAATAATTTACTAAAACGTAATTCAATGTATGTTAGTAATTCAATGATTCACAATTTATGAGTTCAACCTTACCAATAATTGCCAAAAAACGTTTTCTTTCCCTTCTAATTGTCTTAATTTGTGAAATATCATCTATAATATATCAACAAAACAAACATTACAAAAACCGGCTTACCTCACAACGTTGCCAAATGTACAACAGCATGGCTTAAGATATAGAGTTGGCTTTGCCATTTCTCAATAAAACTGCTCATTATGTGTTTCATGTCAAAATTATCTTAGGCAGCAAAATCACGAAATGTATTACAAATCAATTGTAAAGTTGTTACTGTATATTTTTCTTACAAAAACTGTCAGCGATTCATTGAACAACATCCTTAACAGCCTTTTCAATGCTATCCTAACCCCTCTATCTTAGTCTTCGTATTTTTATAAGGGATACTACGTCTTTACCACCAAATATATATTTATATCTGTGATATACCTCGTAGTTGTACCTCCTTCTCCAAACACCATTTTCACAGATGCGACCGAATATTCTTCTCAGAATCCTTCGTTCAAATATAAGCAGGAGGTTTTCATCTGCCTTGAAAATGGTCCATGTCTCGTCCGACCCATATGTCAACACTGGTTGTATAAGGGTTTTGTATATGGTTATTTTTGTTTTTTTTTTTGGCTTAAGTTTGTGCTTCTCATATGTCTACTCAATCCAAAATAGCATTTGTTTGCTAGGATTACTCTTCGCTTGATTTCTTCCGTCATGACGTTCTCCTTGGTGATCAGGGAGCCTAAGTATGTGAATTTGTCCACCACTTCAAAGGTAGAGTTATCAATAGTGAATTGGTGGCCGATATTTCTGGCTCTATTGTTCGGTGTTGATGCCATTTTCTTAGTTTTCTCCTCATTTACTTGAAGGCCTATATTTTTGAGGCATTTGACAAGGTGGTATATTGCACACAGGTGTAATCATGGTCTATCAAAGTACTTAGCTAACAAACGTCTGTCTGAAAAAACTCGTATAAGGCTGTATAGAACACTGATAGTCCCCGTTCTCACATATGGATCAGACGCATGGACGCTAACTAAAACAGATGAGTCCGCTCTATCGATTTTTGAAAGAAAGGTGCTACGCAAGATATTCGGAGCGGTCTGTCAGAACGGAATATGGAGGCGTAGATTTAACTTGGAACTGCATAATATCTACAAGCATACGTTTGGTGGTAAAGATATTACCACTATAATTAAGCGAAACCGCCTGCAGTGGGCAGGACATGTAGCCCGGGCCCCTGAATCGAACATGATAAAAAAGATTCTAACAGCGCAACCTGTGGGAATGAGACGACGGGCAGACCAAAGCTGAGGTGGATGGATGGGGTAACACAAGATGCGGAGAAGATCGGAGTCGGCAACTAGAAAATTCAAGCAAGGGACAAAACAGAATGGCGTAGAAAGCTTGAGAAGGTCGAGGCCCTCTAAGGGCTGTAGCACCAAGATGATGATGATGATAACGTTAAGAGATATTACGTCTTTACCACCAAATATATATTTATATCTGTGATATATCTCGTAGTTGTACTTTCTTCTCCAAACACCATTTTCACAGATGCCACCGAATATTCTTCTCAAGATCCTTCGTTTAAATATAAGCAGGAGGTTTTCATCTGCCTTGGAAATGGTCCATGTCTCTTCCGACCCATATGTCAACACTGGTTGTATAAGGGTTTTGTATATGGTTATTTTTGTTTTTTTGGCTTAAGTTTGTGCTTCTCATATGTCTAGTCAATCCAAAATAGCATTTGTTTGCTAGGATTACTCTTCGCTTGATTTCTTTCGACATGACGTTCTCCTTGGTGATCAGGGAGCCTAAGTATGTGAATTTGTCCACCACTTCAAAGGTAGAGTTATCAACAGTGAATTGGTGGCCGATATTTCTGGCTCTATTGTTGGGTGTTGATGCCATTTTCTTAGTTTTCTCCTCATTTACTTGCAGGCCTATATTATTTGAGGCATTTGACAAGGTGGTATATTGCAGACAGGTGTAATCATGGTATATCAAAGTACTTAGCTAACAAACGTCTGTCTGAAAAAACTCGTATAAGGCTGTATAGAACACTGATAGTCCCCGTTCTCACATATGGATCAGAGGCATGGACGCTACTAAAACAAATGAATCCGCTCTATCGATTTTTGAAAGAAAGGTGCTACGCAAGATATTTGGAGCGGTCTGTGAGAACGGAATATGGAGGCGTAAATATAACTTGGAACTGCATAATATCTACAAGCATACGTTTGGTGGTAAATATATTACCACTAAGCGAAACCGCCTGCAGTGGGCAGGACATATAGCCCGGGCCCCTAAATCGAACATGATAAAAAAGATTCTAACAGCGCAACCCGTGGGAATGGGAAGACGGGGTAGACCAAAGCTGAGGTGGATGGATGGGGTAACACAAGATGCGGAGAAGATCGGAGTCGGCAACTGGAAAATGCAAGCAAGGTACAGTACAGAATGGCGTAGAAAGCTTGAGAAGGTCGAGGCCCTCTAAAGGCTGTAGTACCAACATGATGACCACCAGGTGGTATACATTTCTTCTAGTTTGCATGTTGTGCGGGCAACTAGGTCAACATCATCTGCATATGCCAAAAATTAGGATGATTTATAAAAAATGTTTCATCTGTTGTCTATTTGGGCATCCCTGGCCGCCTTTTCCAGAGCTATGTGAAACAGGAGACACCTCAGCCCATCTCCCTGCCGCAGCGCAACATGCATTTCAATTGCCTGTGATTGTTCGCCCTGTATTTCGACTTTGCAAGCAACTTAACGCATTGTAGCCTTAACCAATCTTATCAGTTTATCGGGGATGTGGAATTCATCCATGGTTCCATACAATTTATTTTTTAGGACACTATCATAGGCCGATTTAAAATCTACTAAAAAATGGTATGTGTCGATATTGAATTCATTGGTTTTTGCCAGTATTTGCCTTAGCACAAAGATCTGGTCTGTTGTTGATCGATCAGGCCTAAAACCACTTTGATATTCGCCAAGAAGCTCCTCTGAATATGCACTCAGGCGACTATACAAAATAATCGAAAATATTTTGTATGCTGTATTAAGGAGGGTTATTCCCCTATAGTTTCTACATTCGAATTTATCACTCTTTTTGTGTACCAGACAAACGATCCCAATACACCACTCTTCCGGGATTTGTTCCTCATTCGAGGCTCTCAGTATGATTTTATATTTGTGGTTAGTCAGAGTAGCATCTCCACATTTAATAAGTTCCGAGGGTATACCATCACTTCCTGGAGATTTATTAGTTTTTAGGTTTTTTACTGCATCCCGTACTTCTTGAATTGATGGAGGCTCCAATGGTGTATTGTTGCTTGCTCCTGGGGTTAGTTGATTTGGATCTTCTATTTCGATAGTAAGTAGTTCTTAATAGTGTTCCACCCACCTTTTCAATACTTCTTTTGTATTGAGTATATGCCCCTCCTTATCCTTACATAGTCTGATCCTTTGTTTAAATTCTTTTCTTGCATTATTTAGATTTTTATAGAATAACCTTGTTTGATTTTCCTTTTTTAATGCTTCAAGTTCTTCCAATATTCCATTTTCATAAATTTGCTTTTTTCTCCAATGGATGTACAGCATCGAACCGTTCATTGCGTGGTGGTGGTATTTGCGGCCCTAGAAAGTAATATGTTATCAGTACAGTGTAATTATTTAGTTTGTTTATTAATTATTTGTATTCGGTATACATTTTTTATACTACTAACATTTCGGAACAACAGTATTTGTCATATTGAATATTGCTTATTCTTATTTTGTGCAAGTTAAGACAATATATAATTTTATAAATTATTAAAATGGAAGTGATAAAGCTTATACATCGCATCGGTTAAATCTAAATTATTAACTATTGATATTTTTGCAGATTGCTTGACATGTCACCGGAACTTAGTTCAAGCGATTCTCAAGAACGTGTGACTCCAAGACTGGATAGACGAAAACGTACGATATCTCGTGATGATATTCTAAAACAGGCCGAACAAGTAATGCAAGATTTGGCGTCGTCTAAAGCCTTACTTGAAGTGCAATACGAAAATGAAGTTGGTACCGGATTAGGACCAACCTTAGAATTTTACGCTTTGGTTTCAAAAGAGTTACAGAAAGTTAATTTGGAGTTATGGAATGCTTTTAGTGCGAGTGAAAGTGAATATGTTAATAGTCCGACTGGATTATTCCCGATGCCTTTATCTAGAAGTGCAAAAGTTAGTCAAATTACAAAAATTAAGAGCAAGTTCAGATTTTTAGGAAAGTTCATGGCTAAAGCTGTTATGGATTCGAGAATGGTGAGTTAATTTTGGTTAAATAAAACGACAAATTTATTTTTAATGGTTTTACGTTTATGTCAAGTACCGTCATGTGTTTCCATGTATTTTTTGCGCAGTTAAATTACAATATGTTAATGTAATAATTGGTGTCATTTGGCACAAGAATGCGTTTTATTATGACATTATTATTTTGTTGAATTCCAGTTTATCACATTTAAATTGACTATTTTTTTTTGGGAAGCTAGCTTTCTTATGGTGGGATATGGACAGAATTTATTGATCGATGCAATGAGTTGAGCGTGTGCAAAAATAAAAACAATAGACACGCTATGAAACGAAATATAGCGCGACCCACACACTATGTGGAGCAGTAAACGCAGTAAAAGATAAAATAATATAAGTTAAATTAAAAACCATCGCTCTGTGCGTAGACGATAAGAAAAAAAAAAGAAAATAACCATGTCAACTTATTTTGGCACAAGTAGTATTAGATTCAGTATATGAGTGATATTTCAGAAATAATGCATACGTTTTTACCACTCCTTAGTGGATAACTTTAGGTGTTTCTGGTACTGTAACAGTTGACGATCAAATATATTTTTTTCAACATTGACACTTTACGTGGCAAAAACCGTACAGGAATTCATATAGCTTGAAGTGAAACTTCTAAACCGATCTTAGACCATAATTTAGTATCCAGTTCGGCTATCAGTTTCCGTGAAACGTAGTGCAGGAACCAGGGCAAAGCAGGCAATCAATTGATGAGCGAAGAGTCAAACTGATGTTGGATTTTATTAACGAAGATTGTCGAGCAACATGCTAGGAAATAACCACTGTTACTGGAGTGTTAACATCATCTGTTTGCTGCATTTTGAAAAAGAAAGTGATGTAACTGAAAATTTTGATTCGTTGGGTTCTTCCAATGACATAATATATAGACTCAGCAGTCGGCTATGTTTGCTATTTAGTCAGGTGTCATAGAAACGCTATAAGGCTGAAGGTATGGTTACTACAATAATAGCGTACTCGTTAGCGTGCTCGTTTATTTTATAATGAGTTTATTTTTCTTTGTCAAAAAGAAATCTATGAAAAAACAAGTTATAAAAAATTTAATTTAAATAATTTTAATAAAAAAAACAAAAAATTTAATTGAAATTGTTAAGTATTCAGTATAATGTATAATAATTTATTTATGAAATAAACAAAACGCCTACAATGACTGTTATAACTTAATATTAATAATACAGAATACATTTCAAAAATGACTTACCTGAAAAATGATAATGTTTCAAACTTCCACGACCACAAACAAGAGATTTATAAGGCATTTTACTAAAATTATAGGTAAATGACCCTCAAAAATTTAAAATAAAATTTGCTTTTCACATAAAATATGCTAAAACACAAGCGAACAATGACCTATATATATGAACACAAGGATCATTTGAGATCTGTCGGCTTCGTAAAAAATCGTGAACGTTTCGTGCAACTTCGTATCAAAACAGTAAACAACAAATGGAATCATATTTTTGCCAATTTCATTGGCCGGGTCTATATATTATAATGTGGGTTTTTCAATATTTGACTAGTTAACAAAAGGGAAAACAATTGAATACCGCAATACTATTGAAGTGTATGACAATACTGTGTATTGTAGCACTTTCTTGCAGAAATTGATCAGGACAATACATAAAAAACAGCCTGCCATACGCACTCTTAAGCCACCGAGTTTCCATGACAATACACGCCCACATAACGAAAACATTTTGATTGAATGATAACACAAATACGACTGTAAACTGTTGTTTTACATACCATACGGTCCAGATTGAGGCTATCGGTCTTTGACTTGTTCTCTAAGTTAAATGAGTCTTTGCTTGGGCAACATTTCTATTACATCTGAAAAAAATAGTAACCTCACTTACATAGGAAACCTTTGAAGACATTGGTAATTAAGAATTAAGAAGCAGTGGACTACATTTGCGTAAAATAAAAGTCTACTTTGAGTAATACATTAGTCTGTATTATTTCTGAAATAGCTATCATATTAAAAAGACTAAACTTTGCAATCATCATCATAATTGGCTCCACAATCCTTTGTGGATCTTGCTACTCGTAGAGAAGTCGCCACTCCCGTTGATTTCTAGCAACTTTCCTACATCTTCTACGCTGTCATCCTTCTTCTGAGGTTTTTCGTGTACTCATTATCTAATATTCTAGTAATGTGTCCAGCACATCTTAACCTCTGCAATTTAATAAATTTCACAATATCTGAAATTCGACTATTGGTTGTTTTTAGACAAAGTCCATGTTTCAGGTTCATATATCACAACCAGTTTCATTAATGTCTTGTAAATGTTAACCATGTTTTATATTTTTTAGATGTTTCTAAAGAATGTGGAGTCTGTTTGCTTTTGCTCCACAAAAATTGCATGTATTTGGTTTTTCCTCGTTTACAGCAAGTCCTAGTACACATGCCGCATTCAAAACTATGCAAAATACTGCACTATGTCGCTCATACTTCTGCCAACTATAACAATATCATCGGCGAATATAAGAATTTGAGTCGATTTATTGAAAATATTTCCATTCTGTTTAATGTTTATCTGCTTGAAATCCTCTTCTAAGGCATTATTATATAGAAAGCAAGCCAGCCCAGCCCGTCTCCTTGTCTATGATCATTATTCTCCTTGAATTCTAACATATGAGCTTACATTTAGCATTGTTAGTTTTGCAAATTTAACTAACTTAGCTGGGATCCCAAGGTCTGTCATTGCATTATATACTGCAGTTCATTTAACACTGTCATAGGCTGCTTTGCTAAAATTTGCCAATGTACTTGTATTTGGTTATGACTTTCCGGAGTGAATCCACATTAGCAATGCCCAAAAATATCTTTTAAGAGTTTAAATCTCTCAAAAAGTAAATTGCTAATATTTTATATGCAGATATTCAAATTCTTTATTTTCTTTCTTACAAACATAGTTTGTATATAATTAGTCATAAATATCATTAGTCATATTAACAGAGTAATGCCTCTATAGTTTTTGTAGTCAAATTGATAAACATTTTTAGGCAGCGGGTATATTAGTAACTTTTGTAATTATAATTATATTATTAGTAATAATAGCCACTCCTGTGGTATTAATTCTTTCTACTATATACATACTATTGGTTTATGGATGGCTGTAAAAATGGTCACCGTCTTCCTTATACGTTTCAGGACAGATTTTATCGAACCCTGGGGCTTTTTTTAGTTTTTGGAAGGTATTCGACACTTCTCTGTTGGTGATTCAGTGTGTAGTTACTGATTTAGGTTTAATTGATTTTCTATGTTGTCGCTTCTTCAACATAATTTAAATTCGAGATTAGAGATGATCGCTGAAATGTTCGAACTGAGTTTTTAGCATGTAGAATTTCCCCGGTAATATCTCTACAACTTGTTAGTCTTGACTTAAATTCTTGACGGCTACTATTTAGAGATTTTTAGTATTATCTGGTTTCATTTTTATCAAATAAGCTTTGTATCTCATTTAATGTTTCTGTTCATACTCCCTCTTATTAAGCCGATGGATATGCTTTCCCTCTCTTCTGAGGCGTCTATATTATTCTTTTTTTCTTCATGTGCAACCTACTTCAAGAGTTGTTTTATATCCAGCATTTTTTCTGTGTGTTGCCATTTCACACTCCTTATCAAACCACCGACTTCTTTTTTATGCCCAGCTTTTACCCAATATTTCAACAAATTTCTGCAATACATTATCACGTATTTTTATCCATAGCTGGTTAATATCTTCTACGTTTTCTGTCCTTTTTATCTTCTATTTTCTCTCTATACATTTGCTATGTCCAGATCTTTCAGTTTTGAGTATTTATTTGAAAGACCTTACATCGATAACTATAATATGATATATTTGAGTAATCATTTCATTTTCAGAAGATTTCCAAGTCGCTTATGTATGTCTTTGTAGGGAAATCTTATCCCACCTATTACTATATTTTTAATCGTAGAGTCTTAATCCTTTGTCATTTGTGTATTATGCATGTAGGCTCTTTAACGATGGTGGGAGATTTCTCTCTTCCGATTTCGGCATTAAAGTCTTGCTATTATTTTAACATCATTTTTTGGACTTATCGTGCTGTCCGTCCAGTTCCTCGTAGAACATGTCTTTTTCGTTGTTCTGTTTTTCTTCACTTGGGTGTTACATAGAATGTTAATATTAGCAAACTTTCCTTTAAGTCTTATTCGACGTATTCAGTGATCAATAGCCTTAGAAGTCTATTATGATGTTTTTAATCCTGCTCACAATAACCCCATTACCAAACTCGTGAGGGGTAAGGTTTCCACTGTAGTAAATATTGTAGTTCTTTTTTCCAGGATTCCTTATCGAGTCCCGCTTCATCATCTGGGTCCTGATTCTATTTCATTTCGATTTTAGTTAAAAGTGGGGATATTTACTTTATTATATTGACACTGCTGAGAATTTGGGTTGGCCCTCTTGTTTATTGGCATAGATAAAATTACACCTAGATTAGTAACAAGAATGGTTGACTACATAGGATAGTTCCATTGCCCAAAATTGTCTGTAACTGCAACACGCGGCTGTGACGTAGGCGTGAGGATGACGAGCAATTATCGACCTTATTGTTACTATTAGTTTTTATGGAAGATGAGTCTAATTTGGGATTAAAAAGTTTAAAACGAAAAATGTACGTTTTGTTTTTATAAATAAATGGCAGATAATAAGATTTTTAACAGTACCTAAAACATTCAGACTTATAAATTCTTAATGATCTGTTTTAATAAAATTTATTTTCCAAATGAATGCATTTGTTAGTGTTATAATTAAATTAATAAATGCCAGTTTACTCTCAAAGTAAATGTTGCTGGCAAATACAATCTACAAATCCGTGTTTTACTTATGTAGTCAGAGCACAAATTAGTATCCAAAAACATTTGATGATAAAATAAAACTATTCAATACTGAACTATTTATTTCATAAACATACATAGATAAAACTAAACAGTATACAATACTAGGAAACTTTAGAAACATTTCCTATGGAACAATTTTATTTAATTTTCTAATTTTTAACCTAGTTGAATCCAACACGAATAAGTTTTTTCGCTTCAAATTATCAGCTTCCTTGGATTTTAAATTTCTATAATTTATTCTAATTATTGTTATAAGTTTACAAAAGTTGTTAATAAGCGCATATGGCAACACTTTTTTTTTTTTAAATCCTTTTTGAAATGTTTCCAACAACTCCATTATTTTTCCATATATTTTTCATATTTATTCCATAATTTTATTTTTATGAACCACTCATCTGTAGGCTTGGTAAGACCTCCGTAAGAGAGTTGCTGCATCCATGATGGTAAACTATAACTATATTCACTAGCTTTGTATGTGAAATTACCTTTTATACTTGTTTAATAATTCCTTATATTTTGCTTCAAAATCTATTTCAGGCTTTAAATCTATATTGTCACCAGCTTGTTCAAAAATTATTTCAGATTCAGTAATAGTATGTTTATGTTGATAAGATGCAATATTCAAAATATTTGACCCAACCTTTGTAATTTCTGCTACAAGTTGCTTTCTGATTGTAACATCTAATCTATCTTCACGAGTAGAGACAGGTGTGTTTAAGGTATGTTTATACAAACAAAGTGTTGGAACTGCAGTTTTCTTTAAAAGGCGTTTAGTAGGTAAACCTAAAATAAGTTACGTTAAAAAATGTTTATAGGCATTTTATTGCTTAATCGTTTTACCTAATAATTAATTTTGAAGATCTCTTTCATAGTCATTGTTTGTAAAATGAGCAGAGCATATTCTACTAGAATCGGGATTAAAATGATCAGCTCTTCTGGATCGGTTAACCCCTTAAAGGTTTCGACACTAAATCCTTTCCTTTTGGAAAACTCTGAAAAATAACAGGCATAGTCTTGGTTTTCACACTCTTAAAATTACTGTTACAACCATATATGGCACATCTATTACCACCCAGTACAACAAAAAAATTGGCAGCAGGCACAACTATTCTATATAAAACAATCCAAAATGAAAATGTCAACCACGAATCCACACGCTACGTCACACTCAATACAACGCATTTCTTACATTAGAGCATAGGACAAAATCAATTCTATCTGTGTTTAGTGTCCTTGAGTCATGTCAGATTAATTTCGACTCGAAATTAAATTTCAACCATTTTCTTGAAGTTAAAATTAATTTCGATAAATCGAAAAGTAGTGACGTCCTTTGGTTAGTTCAGCTGAAATCCACAAGGCTCGCAAAGTCGCATTTCGACGTCGCCATATTAATTTCAACATGTTTTCAGTCGAAATCTCAATTAAAATCAGGGCTCTGTAAAGTAATGATCTCTGCTTTGGCTTTATACATTTCTTGTATGAGCGGAGCTGTAGCTCCAAGCTACAGATAGGATCTTCTTACATTCCACGGGCAAAATTTTAAGTCATTGTCCTTATTTTATGATCTCTGCTTTGGCTTTATACATTTCTTGTATGAGCGGAGCTGTATCTCCAAGCTGATAGGGTCTTCTTACATTCCACGGGCAAAATTTTAAGTCATTGTCCTTATTTTATGATCTCTGCTTTGGCTTTATACATTTCTTGTATGAGCAGAGCTGTAGCTCCAAGCTAATTTTTAAGTCATTGTCCTTATTTTATTTGCGAGTTAGTCGTAGGTTAATCAGTTCGGATTCTTTCGTAGGAGATTGCGTAACAAAACTTTGAAATACCGAAAATTTATTTAAAAATTACATACTTTGAAATCAATTATTTTATTATGTTTTAGTTGGATCTTCCATTTTCCGTCGCATTCTATCGATGGCTTCTGGGTCAAGAAAGCTGCTTGACACTGGCGGATCTACGGCACGTCAATCCGGAACTGCACAGGACACTACGTAAAATGCACTTTATCGTTAAGGAGAGAGATGAGATTTTAGCTAATATGGATTATACACAAGATGAGAGAATGAGCGAGGTAAATAAAAACTTATATTTTATATTTAACTACAGTTCATTCAAATTCGACGTGCATTAAAAGTAAACAAAACCAGGCTATGCTATGTAAGACTCCATAGGCGTGCGGTTTTGCTTTCATATTCCTTATTTCCTGTCAAATTAATAAAACATTATGTACAATTAAAGATTTGTGTACTATGAACAACGAAGATAAAATATAAAATGTTAGTATTATTTTCAAGGAAATTCAAAATTAGTTTCCCTACTGTAAAATAAAAAGAAACTTATGGTTTGACAAAAATAATAAAGAAGTAATTACAACGTTGTTTTGACACTTAAACTTAAACGATCGAAATCGAAACATCAAATAAACTTATTTTTTAAAGTAAATTGGGGTGTATTCTGTAACATTTCCGTTAAATTTAAGAGGCCTCTAAAATTTAACTTTTAACGGTCCTCTTAAAGTTTTAAGTAACATTGACATTCTATAAAGAAATATTATAGAGGACCGCTAAAATATATTTTTTTTAGAGGAATCCTCTAAAAAGTTTTCGATCAGATACGGCAACGTCGCACGTTAATGGTGTTAAAACTACTTATAAGGTAAAAATTGACCAAAAACTAAAAGTTGGAGGCCAAAAACTTAAGAAAGAAGACGAAATTGACAGTCTACTTGACTTGTTATTTTATTATTATTGAAAATATATTTCAGTTTATTTGTGTTCGAGTTGATTTTATTTTCGTTTTAATAAAATTTTATTATGTCTCGTGCTCCACGAACAACAAAATCTCAAAAAGAGTTTTTGATTGATAAGTTTTTTTAAAAGAAAATAAAATCCTAACAGGAATAAAATTAATCCTAAATGAATAGGGAAAAGTCCATGTATTATGGGAAAGGATTGATCATATTATATCGGATTATCTCTTGATGTAATCTGAATTCAGCTCTACAAAAAGAATAAAAAATTTTAATTTTGTTATAGATGCAACACACGGATTATAAAATAAACTGAGAGTTACCTTTCATTATTATTTATTATTTCATCAACTAAAAGCTTCACCAAATATATTATAAAAAGCTATTTGTTTTTTTTAATTGTTTATCTGCAGTATAATATATAAATAACAAACTAATAATCATATAAACCTAACCAAACAAAGATAATCAAATGATAATTTAACGGGCGCTAAAAATAAGAGGACAAGTTTTGACATCCTCCAAAATATTCTGTTTTAGCGGGAGTTTTAACGGTTTAGGTTATGATTTTAACGGATGCATAAGTTACAGAATACAAAAATAATTTTAGCGGACGCTAAAATTCTAGAGGCCTCTAAAATTTAACGGAATGGTTACAGAATACACCCCATTGTGTGTTAGTTCGCATCAAAAGTAGTAACTTATTATAATGTTTTCAGTTTTTATTTGAAAACCAATAAAACTCACGTGATCCAGATTACTAATGTTACCAAAAATTGAAATCCCATTTTACATAAATTTCGTAAATTCGAATACAGATATACCTTAACTTAAAATGTTTTCATAAACGAAAATTTTGTTTTAAGAAAAATAAGGTATTGCACTTGGATGTCAAATTTGCCAAGTACAAAATAAACAACTGATCAAATCATATCATGCGATATAGAAAATAAAAGGGGAGCGATAACGATTACTTAAGGATAGAAAAACAAACAGGGCAACTACCAAAAGGGCACTACGAAGCATCTTCGTTATTAATGGATGTATAGTTTCATACGAGATATCATAGTGCACTATGGATGAAAAGGCGTCTGACTGAGTACAAGATAAACAACTGATCGGATCCTCACATGCGACATAGCAAATGAAAGGGAAGGATATAACGAATATATTAAGATAGAAAATCAATTACATATCTTAATAGATTCGTTATATCGTCGCTTTTCATTTGCTATATTGCATGTTAGGATTCGATCAGTTGTTTATTTTGTAGTCAACCAGAGGCCTTCTTAAAGTCAATAAATAAAAATTTTGTCTTATAGTAAATTTATTGTCATCCATAGTACCCTATGATATCTCGTATGTAACTATACGTCCATTAATAACTAAGATGCTGTGTAGTGCTGTTTTGGTAGTCATCTGGTTTGTTTTGTCTATCTTAATACAATCGTTATCCCCTCCCCTTTCATTTTCTATGTTGCATGTTAGGATTCAATTAGTTGTTTATTTTAAACTCAACCAGAGGCCTTCCTTGAGTCAATAATCAAAATTTGTTTTATAGTATATCTATTTTCATCCATACGTCTTATGATATCTCGTATGTAACTATACGTCTAATAATAACGAAGATGCTGTGTAGTGCCGTTGTGGTAGTCGTCTTGTTTGTTTTGTCTATCTTTATCCCATCCCCTTTCATTTTCTACGTCGCATGTTAGGATTCGATCAGTTGTTTATTTTGAACTCAGCCAGTGGCCTTCCTTAGGTCAATAAATCAAAATTTGTACATAGTAAATTTATTTTCATTCATAGTGCCTAATGATATCTCGTACGTAACTATACGTTGTATATAATCAAGATCCTGTGTAGTGCCCTTTTGGTAGTCGCCATGTTTTTTTCTATCTTAATATATTCGTTATATCCTCCCCGTTTAATAAATATCGGCAACCGAGTTGAAGAAGGCGGATATTCAAAAGTGGCTGTGATCAAAAGTTTTGACAATTCAGTTCTAAAAGTTGAGCTTTTGACTAATGTGAATAAACATTAAATCCTACCGCGTACAATGACTATAAATCATACGGTCAGCCGCAACTTATGCTACGATGTCTACTTCATATTTTCATATGTATTTAATAATACAGGAAAATATAGGTTTATACATCGTTAAAATCATGATTTGGGAGTGTCCCTCGTAACATTCATACTGTTGAGGGTTTATGTATACTTACCTCAGCTCTATCTTGTATTTAGTGTAGAAATGTTTAAAAAGGTTTTCGAAGCCCCGCCCATTGTGACGTCAGAGGTGAGGTAGTCCATTAATAAACACAACAGACCGTTTCCAGTAAGAAGACTCGAGCTTCAAAAACTCAGGAGTTGAAAAACAAAACGAACTGTTTCAAAACACGCCAGTCTTTAAAAAGTTTGTGAAAAGTTGCTATTTCGTTATAATTTACACGAATTTGTGTTTTGTTTTTATTTTGTCCGTTTGGTGGGAAACCGCTATTAGATATTACATTTAATTTTAAAACAATTTTTACATATTTAATTTAATTTTAATAATTCAATGCATTACAATAACGATATCACATTATTATGTTGTTGGAAAACCTCATTCTAACATTTATTAATTTAATTTTATCTTTGTTATTCTTCTGATCATAAAATATAAATGATAACATTTATTATAAATATAAATGAATAAATTAAAGCACTATAATTCCCTGACGCACGCCCTGGCTAAAATATTATCACTAGAACAACATTACTCCAACTAAGTTATAGCAATTCTTCCATGTACAAGGACTACTAAATGATATGGTATGCTGTTAATACTTGAGTTTCGTGTAGGAAGTCTATTTATATAGTTTATGAGGTGGATATTATGTACGTTTATACATTGTAAATCATGATTTGGGATTGCTCCTTGTAATATACGTAATGTTGATAACGTGTCTTGGTTTGTTTACTGCTACTGCATCTTTAAGTTAAATTTGGTTTAGTTCTGTATAGTGATATTACTCTTATTATTAAAAAGTGTAACAATACAGTTATAATTACAATTTTAGATCGAGAAACTGGAATTCGATGGTTGCTCCATAGATGATCTCGGCATAGACTTTGTGGTACCTGGTTATAATATAGAATTAATGAAAGGGGGAAAATCTACACATGTGACAATCCACAATCTCCACCTATATGTAAAACTAATGTCTCACTGGTTACTTCACGAAGGCGTTTCACGTCAAATGGAATCGCTCAGGGAAGGTTTCGAATCGGTATTTCCCCTTCATAATTTGAAGGTGTTTCTACCTGAAGAATTAGAGTCCGTATTCTGTGGAAGTCCGAAAGATTACATCCTTGGTTGGGACGTTAAGACATTGATGGAGTGTTGTAGACCTGATCATGGATATACAGCGGATTCTAGAGCTATACGATTCCTGTTTGAAGTGCTTAGTTCATATGATAGAGAAGAGCAGAGAATGTTTGTTCAGTTTTTGACTGGTAGTCCAAGACTCCCGGTTGGAGGTAAGTTTACACATAATAAATAAATATAAAATCAGAATTTTTAAATCTACGTGGTATGTTCGATCCATTGTGTAAAATGGATCAGTTTGCATTTTTCATCAGAAAATAACTTTCGCTGCTATTTTGTGTTATTGTATAAAAGGAAAAGATTCGTTTGTTTTTGTCACCGAAAAAAAATCTCATTAGATTAGTATGTTGAAATAAACATGAAGTGATTTCGCTCACTTGCGCAGAATAACATACATAAATTAACCTATTGTTTACATCATTTTGGATATAAGCTGTTTATAGTAGATACACTGAGCTTGTAAATATTTTGACAGTCAATAGATAAATTGAAATGATAAATGAAAAAAGGCAGCAAATATTTGATTTCACTCAAACAAATCCTATGTATCTGTTGATACGTATTTCGACCTAATAGGTCTCATCAGAACAGCTATTCATAGGAGTTCTCAACGTGAAAAATCAATGTTTTCTGCCTTTTAAGAAGCAACAATAACATGGCTTCAATACGGACGCGCTAGCGACATCTAATTACAAAATCCGTAAAATAGTAAAATCGAAACCCTTTCCCTTTCCCCTTTCGAAACTATTTTACGGACCTTAGATAAGTCTTTGGCCGTCTCATCCATTTGCCAGTCTGGTTATGTAGTTCTATTGAGACTTCTATTGTCCCCTTCTCCTTATTGTCTTACGTTTATAGTTTTCCACCTCATCCAACCATCTCGTTCTGTATGTATCTTCTTTAATTTCACTACAATTTCACTTCTTTAATTGTTTTGATTAATTTCTATACCCAAATATGTAAAGACAACTGTACAACACGTTCGATGGTACAGTTGTCAATTGCGATATTATTTTTGTTATGCTACATTATCTGCATATGCACTAATTAGTACCGATTAGGTATTTATTTGGTCGGTTACATCGTTTTTTATAACCTTTAGAACTAGGTTGAATAGCGTGATAGTGCTCTCTGTCTCACTTTCACGTTAATGTCAAAGTGTTCTTTCTAGTTGTTCATAGAAGTAACCTTTAATATGTTCGTCTGTATCTTCTGTCTGAGCATGTGCGGATATAATTGAGATATTGTACCATTTTCCTTTCAGTCTAATATAACGAAAGTCTTTCACTAATGGGCCTGAAACTTATAATACTGTTCAGGTATTCTTCTCGTACTACGAAACCTCTGCCAAATTCGTGTTTTCCTGTCTGGTCTCCACTGTAGAAAATGACCGCCTTGTCTATTGTTATGTTTCCCGTGTCTAGCCACCTTTGTTCTTGTATTACCGTAATGTCTATTTCTACTTTTTCTGTTTTATTGTATGTATAGATGCTCCCGTCCGGTACCAACTTAGAACATTCCATGTTTCAACATTCAAAGTCCTTGTGCATTGCGATTGTCGTTTTCCATATGTATCTGTTCGATTCCGAGGCAAACTTGCAGTTTTCATAACAGACTGTCTTTTATAAGGGCAGGTTGTTGGTCTTCAGCTTAACCCACCTTTATCCGGGCTTGGGACCGGCAAGAAAGACTGTTGAGCTACTCGATCCACCCAACAGTCATTCCAGGCGGAGTTGGTGGAATCATGAATTGTTGAGATTAAAAATTTATGTGATGGTATATTGATTAGACGATAATAAAATAATGTAAAAAATGTAGATTCCCAAAATTTATGCGTGAAAGTATAATTTAGTATAATTCTCTTCCTTTTTAATTTGTAGAATTGTATTTGTCTTGTAATATATCATATTATATACCCACAAAATAAAAATTGCAAACTTATTTTTTCAGGTTTTAAAGCATTATCTCCTCCGCTGACTGTAGTAAGGAAGACTCTAGAAGGGAATATGAACCCCGACGATTTTCTACCATCTGTGATGACATGCGTGAACTACCTCAAATTACCGGATTATACAAGTATTGAAGTGATGAGAGAGAAATTAAAATTAGCAGCTTCAGAAGGTCAACACTCGTTCTACCTTTCATAAGAAAGTGTATGCAACTTTCAGAATAGGCTATTACTCAGATTATATTTTTCTTGATTTATTGATGAGGATATTTTAAGATATATCAATAAAAAATTTTCCAACTGAAGTAAAAGTATGTAAATTATGGTACTGTATAATATATAAATAAATTGCTTAATATTTCTTTTCTAAGGGTTTTATCTACTTTTTTAAAAGTTATTTAAGAGATATTTAGTTTAAAATGTAGTGATATAAACAACATTTAAAATGTCACAACAATTGTGTATAAATATAAATATGGGAAGTATTAAACAGTTAAATAAAAGTATTGTATATAAGTATTCCATAGGTATTCTAGGCTAGCAATTACAATTGACTTGATATAAATAATACGAAATGACATTTTGACTGTCGTGACAAAATTATTTAAACAATTTATGTTACTTGTCAGTTATTCAACATACATATTGGCAAAATGCAAAATAGATTTCGGCAGAAATGGATTGACATATCATATTCAAATGGGTCAGTTGTACCAGTAGTATATTGATGGGATACATATTGATACTATATGAATGGACCACGAGTTGTCATCAGAAATGTGTTTTTTTTACATTTAAGAAAATCGGATATGTACTGAAAATGCTGTTATAAGTGAGAAGAAATAATAAACATAATTAAAAAAAGTAATTACACTACACCGTAGTCTATTCTCAGTCAAGAAAATGGGAGTCCAAATAATTACACCCTGAATACATCCTGATTTTGAACTTATTCGCTGGACTAGGACACGCCAGCTGCTTCTTGACTAGGAATATATTATACGGCGCATGCAAAAAAATAAAAGTTTATTGAAACAAGTTAGTATTATTTATATTTTTTCATCTGATCTCTATATTTTATCCCCGTCCGTATTCCTTGATGCATATATTTTGATGAACGAAATTGTTTCTATACAGTCTTCTAAATAGAAACTGTAGTAGTTTTTCTGTTTGTTATTATATCATCACATTCAGCTAATAGTGCTTGGAGAACAACTTATTCGCTATATTCATTGAATTCATTTTTCTTCTTTTTCCATACGCTTAGTAGCGTGTAGGCGTTTGAGTTGCTGTCTTTTAGCAACTATTCTAAGGTTTCCCTCCTTAGATAGTTGAAAAATAGACCCAGAATCTTCGACCACACCATTTTCTTATGTTTCTGATCCATGGATGTAATTTTCTTCTAGGGCCTCTTCTACCGTCAATCTTGCCCGCGAATATAAGTTTTAAGTGAGGTATCTTGATCCATTCACGACGTGTACCAATTAAGAAATCTTGCGCTGTTTTACTACACCTTATTGATCCACATTTCGCATGCTTCATATCTATTTATTGACCGTGTCTGTGAACTTTACAGTATTACTGGCCACGTATGACATTTAACCAAACAAAGTCTAATATTTAAAGGCACCTCTGAGCTAATGCGGTATTTCTTGAATTTAATAAAAGCTGCCTTTGTCGTACCTCACCTTATTTTAATTTCTTTATCACAATCCCACTTAATTGATCAAGTGAGAGTTGAGTGGATCAAAGGTACTATTCTTTAACTCTTTCAATGTGTTGTTCGTCTATAAGGTGTGTTTGCTCATGTTGCTGCAAGCGAATGATCATAAATTTAGTATTTTTGATGTTATCCTTCAAGACTTATTCCTTTCCTGTATGATTATTACTTGTAACCAGCGCTTGCAGATCTTCTGTCTTAACTGGTAGAATATCTGTCGTCTGCGTAACAAATATTGTTAATTATGACCCCATTTATTTTAATTCCTCATTTGTTTTCTAAAGCAATTTGAAATACTCGCTCAATATCGCTAAAAATTAGTAGTTCATCTGCACCATAGCATTTAAAACAACCAATTCCATTTTCAACGACACTTCTTCATGTACTATGTCCTTTCAGAACGTTGGTTACAATCATAGCTATCTTAATTTTATTCACTGCCACCCTAAATAGCATGCTTGTATCAACACCATACCAATCTCCAAGTTCGTGAACCATGAGGTTCTTCTTCGTCCTGGACTGCGTTTGCCTGCTATTTTTCCTTGCATGATATTTTGTAGCAACCTATTTTTAACCTATAGTAAGACCGAGAACACGTAGCAGCGAAGTAGGCGGATCCTTAATGCCAATTTTAGATCTCTGTTACATAACACCTTAGACATCCTTCTAATAGCAGCTCTAGCCTGCTCTATCCTAGATATAATTTCGCCGTGACTTCTGCGTTACAATTTAATTGCTGTCCAAGGTAAACGATTTGATCAACTTGCTCAAGTTTGGTATTATTTACATATATAAACGGTTTTATATGCTGTTGTTTACTTATTACGAGTATTTTGGTTTTCCGTATGTTCAGATCCAGATCTGCCTCCCTACAACTCTCAACGACACTATCAAGTAGTGTTTGCAGATCTTCTTGACTAGAAACTAGGGATACTGTATCGTCCTCATATCGCAAATTATTGATGACTTCGCCGTTCACAAGTATTCCTTCTTGTTTTTCAGAAAGTGCTTTTCTGAAAATTCTTTCGGAGTAAACGTTAAAAAGCAGGGGTGACAAGGGCATCCCTGCCGTACTCCTGTTTTAATATTGAGAGCCTGTGATTCCACACCATCTACTAAAACTGATGTTGTTTGATTCCAATATAAATTTGCAATTATTCGAATATCTCAGTCGTCCAAGCCAATTTCTTTTAGAGTTTCGATCAATATAGAGTTTTTAACATGATCAAATGCCTTTTGGAAGTCAATAAAACAACAGTATATATCTACAGATTTATTTCGACATCTTTGAGTAAGTACGTTCATTCCAAACAGTGCCTCTCTCGTTCCAAACCCGTTACGGAAACCAAACTGAGTGTCACCTAGGTATTCCTCGCTTTTATTCTAGATACGACCATGTATTATATTCAGAAAAATTTTCGACACTGTCGAACCTCAAAAATCACTCGTGTGCTTGTCTCCTTACTCTACAAAACATAAGGTATATATAGTCATATCATTTACTGGTATTCCCATAGAGTAGGTGACATAGCATTCCTTCTTCCCTTTTTAATTATTACTACAGGAGAGTTATTATTATTCTTTTTGAGTACCCTCAAAGACTTTTTAGGCATATAAAACTATATTTGGTCTAAAAAAGAAGTATATAGTTAGTAGAGTTTTTAATCAATTTTCCAAAGCATATTATTTGCTTGCAATAACTCAAACAGACATGGATAAGCAAATTAATAGAAAAAGTTAGCCTGTTAGAATTATTTTATGCTCTATATTTAGATGTGTTCGTTCTGTAAAGGAGAATGGCAGACCTTTTTATTTTGAGGAATGTTTGAATGTACTAATGATTGTTTACAATTAAAACTATTTTGGAACTCGATAGAGAATTGGTAAAAAATGTTAAGTAAAAGTATCAATCTTGTAAGCCTTGTATTGGAAATGTTTAAGATATGACAAGACATAAGTCAAACCATATAGTTTTAGCACTTCTGCTTAACTACTTGATTACAACACTTGTTGTATGATGGATTCAATTATGAAAATGGAGTAGATTCTGACTATGCTTTACAAATGATTAAAAACTTAATATTAAAAGTATTTGATCTTAAATGTTTATTGCACTGTTTTGAAATATTTACAGCATATAATATTCAGATTCTTTCATTGTTGGTTTAAACCAACCGATCTATACTTCAGTTGAAATACTGCAAAAGTTTTAAAATATTCTTATCGATTATTTATTATTTGTCGGAAAAACTGTGTAATAGCCTGCAAACGTAAAATATACAATCGAATAATATAAAATATTGTATTTAGCACTCACCTAGTGAGGCAATGTGTCATTTTTTACTATATTGCTGTATAATTTATTCTTAAAGAATTGAATTTTGGTTGTCCCTTACTTGTTTTATTTTATTTGAATGTAAATACGCATTTTCCTTATGTAATAGTCCAAAGTGGAAAAAAATTATTTTGTCATCACAAATATAGATAACTTTTTGAAGCAATTCAACCAAATTTTATCTACAATAGTTTCAAGTATGTACAGTTTTTCTCATTATATTTTGACCCCCACTTATTTTCTTTAATTTCGGGAATACAAAAAAAGTTTCAAATAAAAGTTGTATTATTTTATCTGTACCGACCAACAGTGTAGCAACAGACCAAATTTTGTATACAGGGAGTGCCCAATAAAATGCATCTTCAATGTTTCAAATAGGACACCCTGTATTTTTTTTATAGTTATGAGTAGCCCTGCATTTGCTGATTATAAATATATAACAGCGTAGCATTAGTTTTGTTATATAATGGCGTATGGTACTACTATACTATACTAAGATAAGAAAAAAATATATTTAGAAAGTCAACAAAATTAATGACTTACAATAATACATTTAAGATGCAATACTACATTTAAGATTACAATTGTTGCTCAAAGTGCCCTCCATTGTTATCAATGCACAAGTAATATCTTCGTCTCAAATTTTATAATGCGTCGGATACTGTGTTATTATGACCATTTAAATTTTCAATTTCCGCGCTAACTTTTACCGTGATAGTATTAATATTTGTATTTGAATCAAAATATACTTTTTCTTTTAAAAACCCCCATAAAAAGCTATCACATGGTGTTAAATCGGGACTATTTGGTGGCTATGTAATGGTACCCTTAATGCCGATCCACACATTAAATTGATTATTTAAATGTTCTTGAACGGCTAAGACATTATGTGGCGGTGTTCCATCTTGTTGTAATATCATACTATTTAATTAATTTTGTGTATAATTTTGATTTAATAACTCCTCCACTTCTGTAATGACTGTGTCCAAATATGATTCCCCAGTTAATTTATAATCACAAAACAATGGTCCAACTATTTTGTTTTGAAATGTTCCGCACCACACATTTATTAATTTTCTTCCTGACTTTTTTATTTGCTTAATTTTTTTTTCTATTATTTTTATGTTCCTACGAATACCTATTTCTTCTATTTAAAATGCCTGAAGTTGAAAAGTTTGATTCATCTGTTAATGTTATAAAAATAATTAGGATCATTGTTCAAATTTGTAAGCATGTCTGGACAGAACTGTAAACGCTTTCTCTTATGAACATCGGTAAGTTCTTGTACCGGTAATATTTTGTACGGCTTATAGTTGTACTTTTTTAAATCTCTATTTATCGTCGGACTGCTTTTCTCTAATGCATTAGTAGCATTGTTTAGACTAGTTCCGGAATTTTCTAAAATAAAAATGTTATCATGGATTTAATCTATATTTAATTTTTACCTTCAAAGTAAAGCAAAGTATTAAGATCTTCATCATCATTTCCTACGATAGTACGTTTCTTCCGTTCAAACAATTTTGTTATTGAGAATATATCTACTTTTTCATCTGCAGTATAACCCATTTCGGTATGAGGACTGACAGTTTATAATAAATTAATAATTGTTTCATTTTCAAGTGTCAGTTGCATAGCCATCTATGGTTACCCTTTTGTAGTATCATGATGCCATTATAGAAAAAAACTAATGCTACACAATGTTATACTCAAAAGTATGAAAAAATACAGGGTGTCCCATTTAACATATTGAAGATGCATTTTATTGGGCACTCCCTGTATAAAAAATTTGGTCTGTTGCTACACTGTTGGTCGGTACAGATAAAATAATACAACTTTTATTTGAAACTTTTTTTGTATTCCCGACATTAAGGCAAATAAGTGGGGGTCAAAATATAATGAAAAACCCGGTACATTTTGTACTTATTATTGCCTGAACTCAAAATTAAAAATACTCTTAAGCATAATTATTATCATTTTTGATGAAACAGTGAACATACATGTGGTACTTTTAGTACAGCCTAGATTAATTAGCAAAAAAAGAGTTATGTTACTCTTCACTAGTCCTTCACCTCACTGAATCGCGCATAATTTGTACAGGATCATATGATTAGAGGTGGGTGGTACCCAAGCAAATTGTTACACAGGTTGTATCTAAAGTTTCGCCTCTACCCACAACTATTTCCTGAAGTATAAAACTTAAATTAACAAATTTTAGAAGAACTTAATTAAGGCACCTATACATTGTTTTTATGAAGTTTTATTGACGTAATTATGCAAAATGGAGGATGTGCGCTATTTTATAAAATTATTTATAACATGCCGTATATTGTGCCTTAAGAAAAAATCGATGACGTCATATTTTTGACAGATATCAATAAATAAACAAGACTTATATCAGTATGCGGATAACTGGAAAGGTAAACTCACTAGTTTCAGCATAAAGTTCATCAAAATATTTATTGACAGTCCGTAATTTCGGGCATTTTGAAACGGATCGATGGATAACAAAATACTATAAACATATTATGTGATAAGAGCTTTGAAATGAGATATTAGTTGCCGTATGATCCCATTTAAAATAAGTTTACAAAATGGCGTTCGCCCACCATATTAAATGATTACGCCACTAGAACATAATAAAATAAATGTACAGGTGGCTTAACTCAGTCATCTGATAATTTATTAATATATTAGGGTTGTGTTTTATTATGGTTCAGAAAACAATTTGGGGTGGCGTACTGTAGACAATTAACTGTATATAAACGTTTCGTGTAAATCAAAAAGACTGGTTTAGTTGGTCCCCAAAAAGCCATAAATAAATGCTTATTCAATAGTTGCAACTTCCGCTCCAGTAATATCTTCTCCGTAGTAGCTTTTAACAAAATATATTTAATCCCGAACAAACGGGGAACTAAAATGATTGCAGATATTAAGTACTGTGTGAATTAAAGTGTTTAAACGGTGTCGTGGGTGATTGCGTGTATCAAGAGGGACACATTATATACAACTCTTATCCTTTTTACAACAACATTGGACATACATGCCACATTTTTCGAATTTTGTAATCGGCGTGTGTTGTTCAGCAAAACAGGATTTTTTGTAGTATTGTACAAAATAAAACTCCTTAACGTTCTAAACCGTGGAATTAATTGCAATTAAATTTAAAATTAAATGAGGCTTCGAAAAAAAAACATTTTGTTATTTAACATATTGTCAATACCGATTCATTGAGAGGTATCCCCCATCTCTTCGGCTGCCTTTCTTGTGACTTTATCTTCCATATTAATATCTTGCATACCATATTGTGTGTCAATAGGCATATTACGAGTTTTATATATACTAATTTTACACTCTGCTCTCATGTATCTATCATTCCAAATAACGTTTCTTAGACATACCGACAAAATTGCTGTTTTCTTGAGGAGGGTTTTTAAATCTTTTGCGGGATCGTTACCACTAGAGAGGTCAGTTTGGTTGTTGACACGAGCTTGTATGTGATTAGCACTCTAGATTACATCTAATTTTGATTAGTAGTATTTTGATTAGTGGCATTTTAAAGTAATAACTCTTTAAATGGGAATAAGCCACAATTAAAGGTTAAAGTAAGTTTACTGACGTTGCAATTTCCACTTCGGATATCGTTCTCCAAATACAATTTAATTTACTAATGTTTGTATTTTGGGAATGATAAACTTTTTTCCATAAACTTACTTTAACCTTTAATTGTGGCTGATTCCAATTTAAATAGTAATTAATTCAATTCCATTCGATTTTAATTTATTTTTATTTCCTTTTGTTTCTTTAGTTTTTATTTTGTCACACCTCGGCGCAATCCGTCACATCGATCAATTCATTCCATCCTTAGCCCGCGATAAGGAAGCTATGCTTCCAAAAAAGAAATGCATAAAATGACACTGAAATTATAATACTAATGATGATAAAGCACAGGTATAAAATCTCCCTTTAATATTTAAAGTCACTTTTAAAAAGATCAAGCAAGTAACACAAGTCAAATAAACAGTACTCCATTCAGTGTAGGGAGCAGACGCGATACCTTGTCTCTAGCTTTAACTATCTTTTATGACATGCACAGTGTGCGCAGACCTCTTCCTGTAGACGCATGAAGAGAGACACCGTGTCAAAGCTCCATTACAGTGCTTAAAAATATGCGTTTTTACTAATCAAGGATACCGTACAACCTACTTTGGCGAGGCCCATTATTGTATATTATTGGATTAAATACTATTCTCTAAGAATTCTGTAAATTTTCTGTGTAATATAGATATTTATGAAAGTTTGCAAAACTTTTGTTTTCTATTCTAGTAATGATTCTTCTAATAAACAGTTAGAAAACTAGAGTTTGGATACATTATAGTTAAAAAATTGTTAATGGAATAGTAGATACAGATGAATCTCCGTTAAAGACACCTCTAATTAACCACCACGTTGGACATTTGTCTTCGAATTTATGATTTTTCGGAAAAATACAGAATACAAACTTCATCGTAATAACGCAAATAAAATTTTGAAACGTAGTTTCATAGCTAATTAATATCACTTTATTGGCATATTTCTACTATTTATATATTTTAAATGTCGCTTTTATTGAGAATATATAATTAACTCATAGATCAATCAAAAATCATGTTACCTTGAACCCCATAACATCTTCAAAATTCTTGGTATTCTCCTAAGTGGCAGTATCTTTAAAAGCAAAATTATTTAGATGGAAGATTGCAAGCTGGTTTGCAAATTATGTTTATGAACTGCTTATACATATTTTCCTTCAAAGTACTGCCAGCAGTTGAAAACATGTGAATTTTAAAGCGCCTTTTTTTTGTTTTTTTTTTTTGTCGGCCATGGCCGACCGGCGATATAGTTGATAGTTCCACACTTTTCACTTCACTTTTCCCCTCTCAGATCGTGTCATAAAACCATATTCCAGAAGGCCATTAACAAATGTTGCAATTGCAATATGACAAGATTGGTAGCATCATTCACTTTATTTGTGTATTACACAATTTTATTGTTCATGATGGAGTTTTTACTAATCCGATATTACAATTGAAAGAACATATTATAGCCAATAATAATTCAATACAGCCAGGGAGAAATGAGAAATCTTATTCCTATGCC